ACACACACACACACACACACACACACACACACACACACACACAGAGGAGAAACACACCTGGCTATTTCTCCTCCTGGACTCCTTTGAGCGCAGCTTCTTCTCCAGATCCTGGATGAGGGCGTCTTTAGAGCCCTGGATGTCTTCATCTGTGGAACGAGAAGAAGAAGGCCGAGGAGCTATAGTCTTCTTCAGAATGGGCTTGGGGAGGCTGTATGATAGTGACACACAATAAACAGAGGGAGAAAGAGAAGATGAAGCAAAGTAGAATTAAATGCATTCACTTTGGACACAGCAGTGAGTATTTTAAAGTGACCTCTATGCTTGCTTCATGTTTTTATTGTATTTTACTGTATTGAATATAAAGATGGACGGTGTATCTCAACTTTCTCCCACTATCAAGAAATGAAGTAAAAATATTCTTAATCTGTGCGTATCAAACTGATGTATCCTGTGACTCACATGTTAGGCGTCCCCTTGTAGCTGGCGGGTAGAGAGACCACAGCAGGTGGGACTCTGTTCTGACTGTTGGGAGTGTTGGGTTGTTGAAGGGAGGAGGAGGGAGAGAGCGGTGAGCGGGGGAGGGATGGGGACACTGGGGGAGGCTGCTGAGAGATGAGGGAAGGTGAGGAAGAGATCCTCATGGGGAGCAAAGGGCTAGAGGGGGACAGGGGGGAGCGGGAGGGGGAGCGGGAGGGGGAGATGGAGGGGAAAGGAAGGTTGGAGTTGGGAGACAGTTTGGATGAGGAGAAAGGGGAGGAGGAGGACGGGGAGGGCAGCACAGAGCAGAGGTAGGCAGCGGGTGCTGACATGATATCTTGGTTGGCTGGCAGGGTGGCACTGCCTAAGCCGGTGGCACTAGGGACACTGGGGGTGAGGGTGATGGTGGAGCGCATGGTCGTGCGGGGGAGAGAGGATGAGGAGAAGGCTGGGAAAGGCGAGGAAGCAGCAGAGGACGAGGGGGTGGTAGCGGAGGGACTGAGCAGTGGGGCGGTGGAGGAAAATGGAGGCACAGTGGAGGAGGCCGGGGTGGAAATGGGAGAGCTGAGGCTGGAGGACGAGGGAGAGGACTTGCCCATTCCATTGGCCTGGGTCTGAATCTGTGTCTGGGCAGTGGACTGGTTCTGGTTCTGGTTCTGACTGAGGCTTAGAGACTGAAACTGGGACTGGTTCTGACTGAGGCTGAGAGACTGAAACTGGGACTGGTTCTGATTGAGGCTGAGAGACTGAAACTGGGACTGGGTCTGTGCCAAGGACTTTGTCACTGATTGACTTTGTGATGACTTGATTGTTGCTTGACTCTGTGTCTCTGTGACACCGAGACTATTCTGGGAGCTGTTATGGTTCTGTTGGGAGTTATTCTGGTTCTCCTGAGCCTCCCTTAGCACACTCTCATAGCTGGGTGCCTGGAAGGCCGGCTGCGACTGAATGAAATGCCTCGGCCGCTCATAGTTGAAGGCACTCGGAGGGAAGGTGCTCGGCTTGAAGGTCGGCAGATCTGACAGGTTCATGTTGTCTCCTCCTGACTGGGAGGACTGGGAGAGAGAGACGTGACACAAAGTTATGAAAACTCAGACACAACACAGCAAAAGTAATATTCATGGAGAAGTTAAGAGCATCAGTGTTGGAAGATGTTTGTTCTTGTCTACTAATAACAAGAAGAACTCTACATTAATGAACTTCAATAGACACATAAGTATGTCTATGGACATGGATTTAAAGTAAAAAGTTCATAAAACGTTCTAATCAAACTGATGTATGTTCAAGTGTCATGACTTACTGCTGAGACTGACTTGCAATTTGCAGAGAGCCTATGACAGGACCTTTACACCTCTAATCCAAATCATGATCACTATTTGGCAGACATTGGCCCAAAATGACGTCAAAAGCAGAAGAAGGCAGCAACCCTATCCATTTTAGCCTCATTTTTGCACAACAGGAAGTAGAGACGCATCATCCATCTTTTTATACTGCCTATAGTAAATCTTAAGCCATTTCCATTCAAGCGTTTGAACATAACACACAAAGACAGTAGTTACGTATGATGGCAGCAACAGCTCATAAAAAAACATCTCAAACAAGACAAAACGTAGAGTGAGAAATGTTCATACAGTGAAACTGAGCTTGCTTGGGCTGAACAGCTTGGGTGTCTGAGCTTTGTCCTTGACTTGAGCTGGTGGTGGTGGTGAGGGTGGCAGGGGGGGGCTGGGGGTACAGGCTCGGATGATGACCTCTGGTGACCTTTGGCCTTCTGAACTCAAGGCACTGAACTCTTCCTCGCCGCGACTGAAGGGTCTTTCAGAGGAGTGGCTGGACGGCTGAGGTGCTGGAAAACTGACAAGAAACGCACAGACATATTAGGTTTGAATGTATTTATAAAAGATACAGGTTCCAGGAAAGGAAGTGAAGAGGGAGACTGATGGGTGAGCAACATAAAAGCCATCATGAAAGTCCCCCACACAGGTTCTTTCCACAATCCTCAGATCTCCATGCCGTTCAGAAACCTATAAAGTCAGCTACACATGGAAATAATACCAGTAATCTAAGAGCCTCAGACACAAATTAAGAATGACACTGTTTTTAATTCAAGTGGTTTTTCCTAGACGCGTCAGGGATGAATACAAGGTATGGCTGCTGATAAAAGTATGGACAGAGCAGATGCACAAAACGGCCTTGTTTAACAGTCAGGCCACAGGTGCCACAAAGCTTATCTGTAAGTTGTTTAGAAGCTACGCAGACCAAGGGAGCCAGAGCATCTCTCCGACAGACAGATAATATAATTACACCACGGTGTCCAAAGTAGGTCAAACATGCAATTTATTAAGTAAATGTATTTGGCCATCTACGTTTCCTGTGAAGGGCAAAAAATGCTTCATTTGTCCTTTTATCTTCAGCGAACTCACCAATGTGGCAAATATCTCTATGGGCCAGCACAACATTCACACTGGAAACCTAAAGTTCCAGTTGACTGCAAGCTCCTAAATCTCAAACATTCATCCAATGAACATGCAGATCAAAAACTCCTGTTTCGATCATTCGACTCAGTACTGGTAATGGTCAAAGTCATGTGCATCTTTTAGAGCGCAGACCTCCACCAAGGAGGAGTCTTTGTAAATCTTATAGTTAATCTTATATGCTGTTTAAAACATGATATCTGCTACAAAGTCAAGTAAAGTATACATCAGATTACTGCATCCCATGTACAAGCTTGATGACTTTCACTCAATTATTTATAATAGTCCAATTATTTATGTTATAAATGTTCTAAATAAGCTGTTTTGTTATTTATCAAGTGATTTTCATTCTATGCTCATAACGATAAATCACAATCCTCACTCAGGAGCAAAAGTCAGTCAAACCTAAAATAAAATTAAGTGTGACATTTATCATAATTGTAATCGATATCAACTGATTTGAATATTTTTTATCTTTTATCTTGCCCTTATATTCAATTCAATTCAATGCTCTAGGCACTTTACATAGAAGGTCAAGACCTTAAAATCTTATTAATATAGAGAAAGTCAACAGTTCCAACAATGAGCAGCACTTTGGTGACTGTGGAGGAAAAACTCCCTCATTAACAGGGAAAACCTCTAGAACCAGGCTCAATGTGGGCGGTCATCTGCCTCGACCGGTGTGATACTAAACACAAGTCTGGCACTTGATGTGATGGAGCTCAACCCCCCCACACACATGGCAGCAGTGCACTAGAGTAGACTGAACAGAACAGAAACCTTGGTGGATGTTTGCACTCGAATCAACACATTTGCTACATTTCTATTTGGTCAGATTGGATTGGAAACTGACAATGAGAACAGGCTCGTGGTGTTGAGACACCTGGGCAGGTATCATGTGAAACTCAGAGTCCTGGTATTGTGACACACATTTTAAAGTGATGTCTAGGATGGCACTCAGTAGAACCTCACCAAGTCCCCTTCAATTCAATCAAGCTGCACCAACCAACAAACAAACGTAGCAGACGTAATGATGAACTATTGGTTTAAGCAGTTTCTCCTTAGAAGAGGAGTGTAAACATCCAGCTGGAGAAAACTATAGTATGAACAGAAAGGGAAGAAAAGTGGAGCAGACCAACAGTTGCTGTCGACATAACAAACAGTGGTCGCCATGTTGCCCCCGCATTCCCCCAGAGCTGAGTCTGCACCAGCTCTATACTGTTAGTCACGGTTCCAGAGGGCGATTCATTGAGTACCATGACTGACTCAGATATTTACCATCAGGGCCCAAGTGATGAAAACATGACTGCAGATTGATTCCAGTGTGGCTGCATGGCACAAGTGAGACTTGTCTAATGAGAGTTACAGATCTCATTCCAGTAGTTTCGTGTCTGTAATAACAAGCCTAGCTCGTCCTCCTCTTTTCTGCTAGAAAAAAATTCTGTTCCCATGACTACCACGTCGTTGGGGCTACGCAGGAGTGTAATGACTGTCTCTTCACTCTCTCTCACACACTCAATTACACATACCCATTGTTTTTCTGTATTTCTCCTGAGGGCACAAACCCAAGGCAGTTTTTTTTTTTTTTTCAATCATACAAACACCTCTGATATATGACCACTGACTGATCATACTGCTGACGCCACCTCAAGGAAACACAGTCTAACCTTTGAGCTGATGTGTGAATGTCTAAATGCTTTTAGAAACCACACCAAGGCTAAAGGACATCAACAACCAAACTGATCACTCTTTTTCCAGATTATCCAGGTATGTTATGTGGTGTAATCAAGATTTTGTGCGTTGGAACATTCATTCATTTAAAGTGAGACCTGTAATGACCCGTTCAAGATTCAGATTTATTACCTCACAAAAAACAAGTATGAAAAGTAGAAGTAGGACTTTTCTATACTGAACTAGATGAAAATTATATTATGATTATTATTACCAAGGAGGTTATGTTTTTACCCTTTTCTGATGGCTTATTGGTTGATTTGTATGTTACCAAGATTATGCAAAAACTACTTGATGGATTACCGCATACTTGGTGGAGGGATGCAGAATCAGTCAGGGAAGAACCCATTCAATTTTGGTGAGGCTCTAGATCAGGGGCCAAATCCATTTTTTTTTTATCACTTTCTTTAACATTGTGTGACAGGAAGTTTTTAAAAAACATTTTCACTGATTTTCTAGGGAACAATTCAGGAATCTTGATGAAAAAACTCAGGCACATCTAGAGGACTGATATCTGTGAGTGAAATTTGGTGCGGCTTGATTGAACTTAATGGGACTGTCGGGCCTTGGCGGAGTTATGTGCTCTACTGCGTGCGTGCCATTCTAGTTGATTATGTTGTTCTACATAACCCTACACATCTTTCTGCTGTTTCTATACTGACATCTCTCATTACTAATCAACTTGTATATATACGCTGCCAAGGCCAATACTGATATATCTGTAGTGAGCTAATATTGGCTGGTATTATCCTGACTGAGCTCTAACACAGATATTTTGGATTGACGGAGCAGCACCAGCACAGGTGGAGATAACAACATTAACAATGGCTCCAGTGAACTGTGCCGGTAAGCCAAGGCAGACAGAGACAAGCATGCACAATATGCACACTGCAGGGACTAATGTTACCAACTAAAAGTCAACCGTTCCTCATCTTCTCTCCTCCTGAAAGGGTCGACAGCGAACATACTAATGCAACATGCTAACATTGGTATCCTCCAAAAAACTCATCCATGACTATTACATGTGCTGCAGTAGCTTTAAATGTAACTATGAGACAGTAATGTGTGTGAATTATTGCTGCCAGGGCATTCGTCTCTCTGTGTTGTGAGATTAAGTGGGCAAAGCTATATTAGTCTTGGAATTCGGACATCAGCTGGCAGGTGCAGACACTATACTGGTGACCCAACCCTTTTGACATGCCCGTGCATGCAGGCACCCACGCATGGTATTGTGGGTAGCAGTACATTAAGCTGTAAGTCCTCTGACCGATGACAACAGAGGGACAGAAACATGGACACTTATCAGAATCTAGAAGCAGAAAAAAATGGTTTCTGATGGATCCTAAACTCTTCCAACATTACAGTGAGATACAGTACATTATTCATACAGTGTTTTTGGTGACAGTGGGCGATGACTACTAAATTAAGTGGAAAGGGTTAAGAGTTTACACCAACAATAAAAAAAACAACTGATGAAAAAAGATTTCAACAGCTGAATCTTTACGCAGCCATAATAAGGTCACAGTGTCGTCATCTATCAGAGACTGTTTATTATTGAGAGGAGAAAGCTCAGCGCAGCACAATCACCACATGTCCCTCATCATAACATAATCAGTTAAACCTCGAGTTGGTCAGAGAACCTCGACATGACCTTAAAAGCCAGACTGCTGCCAACAGTTTGACAACAACTGCTGTTGTGTGCAGCTCTGAGGATGAGGGGGCTTTCTGAAGGACACAGATGCCATGTCTGCAGTTCACATTACAGATGAGATCATGGTCCTCCACACTGATATAGAGCGGACACTTTACACTCAGACATATTTCACACCATTAAACCCTCACTGGATCTGGATCTGAATCTAAACCGAAGTGTCCAGTCAAACTTACGGACGTGAACAATAAAACACAGAAGACACAAAAGCTGAGAGTTGTTGAAGTAGCACCTGTGCACACACCTGTGGTATTTTCCATCTGCTGGGATTTTGCTGTTTAATTAGCAAACATCAGTGTTTGTCACAGACAGGGAATGTTTTGCCGGAGCAATGTCCGAAAAACTGCAAAACAATAATGTATCCACACGCTTGAATCTGATTGTTTCCATTCTCTATGACTGCATGTGAATGCATCATCATCACATCTATTTGGAAGCATCTGTGAAAACCAAACACTGCCATAAAATTATTATTTTCTACGACAGGCAGTAACACATGAGCTGATGACCACTCAGCTTCAGCTCATGCAGCAGCAGCAGCACAATACAGACCCATTTCTGGTGGTGGACCCTTGAAGCAGCTCCAGTCAGTGTCTCCTCACACTCAAGTTACAACCACACCGGGAATTCACAGCCACAGACAAATGGAACAAACATGTATTTGTATTTTACAAACACAACAGAGTTTGTAAAGTCAACTTTGAACCAGTCTTACTTTGAACTATGAGCAGGCTGTTTGAAATACAACCATGCAGACAGAACTAACCCCCAAAATAGACCAAAGTCCACTTTCCAAGTGCTCTAAACATAGTTTGACCTTTTAAGGAGGACAGCGCATATTAAGTTCCCATGATATAAACTAGTAAGGACGAGTTGAACTGTTACATACTGAAAAGTATTCGGGTGAAACGCTGGTAGAGAGCGGGGTTAAACGCGTCACTTGCAGAGAGCCCGGCAGAATCTCCTCTTACCTCGTCGGAGGTGTCAGCGGCGCGTCCCCCTCCTCACACTGACTCCCTGCACGAGGAGCGACCCCACTCCGAGAGGGGCGCGAGCCTGCAGCGCCACAGGTAACAGCGCGCGCGCTCGCACGAGAGCGCCACGGGATGTGAGCGCGCGGACCCAGCCGAATGGCTCAGCGTCGTCAGCGCACTGCTTCAGTTTATTCTAGATATTATTATAAGTATCATTATTATTGTTGTTGTTATGGGTGTTTATTTAGTGTTTCTGTGCAGAGCTTTAAACAGTCTATGGTGCAGAGTGAAGTTAAAACACGTTGTGTTCATCCTACCTGGTTTATCTACAGTGGATATTTTAGGGTCAATGTTTTTCATAGAGTGAAACTGATTTTGCTTTACTAGTCTTCACATGTTTGGTTTATATATAAGTAAGAATGATTTACTTAACTGCTGTTAGGTAGACAGATATTTGTGGAATTAGTAGGTATGATATTTCAAAGTAAAAATAGAACTTGCTGCGTGGCTGTGTGCTTCGGGAGTCGTTAGAGATGCATATGGATTTTTCAAAAATCATCACGTGTGCACAAGATATTAACTTGCACACAAAGCTAAGAAAAATCTTTTGGGGCTCAGTAGTACAGTTTTCATCCATTCAATTAATTTTAATACCAATAAATGTTCTAAAGCTGTACTTAGTTATTTTAGTAATAGTTGCACTTAACCTTGGATTCTAATTATATTTTGTTCTCATTTGATCTCATTAAGTAAGTGTCGGTAAAAATAAATAGAAAGAGGTGAACTTGAAAATGAGCTTGTTCTAGACCAGAATCATACAACAGCGACCTCGTCTGGATACAAAGAAGAACTACAATGTTGTAATTAGTTAATTTAATAAAAAACGTTTCAATCCTGAACAAAGGAAATAAAAGGTTGTAATAATGAAAATGACTAAATGAGTGATGTCATGAATGAGTCAATGAATAAATAAATATAGTCTTTCATAAACTAAAAACATAAACAGTGCATTCTTTATTTAAATATAATACAGTTGCAACAGTTAAATCATAATTGTAATTAAACATTTTAGCTATTGACATTGTCTTTATCACAACACTGCAAGATGTAAAAAAAAACAACTGTGTGGCAAGTGAAGAAAACTAATGACAGGGGTCAGGGGTCATTCCTGTATGAGAGCAATGAGTGCAAGAATACATGTGACTGTTTTATTGATTTACTTATTGTTTGTTTGTATTAACTCAAAGTATGAGTACTGCACTTTACTCTAAGCATCTACATATACAATGAACTGCACCATAAAAGAAACATTATCATCACTGGTTTGAAATAATGGATTTGTGCATAACACTGAGGTCAGTGCCATATAATGTTTAAAGATACTGAGAGTGACGTCTGTGTGTGTGTGTGTGAGTGTGTGTGTGTGCCATCATACTTACTCCGCAGCAGGCATGTTATCTTCTAAAGGGCTGTCGGGCCACTCAGGAGGGGGCAGGTTCATAGAGTCAGGCAGTGGAGAAGGGAAGTCGTTGCTGCCCAGTCTGGTGGACATGTCCTGTTGGAACACGGCCTCGTTTTCCTGTTGGAGAGAAACTGCTTCCTGCTGACGAATGGCCTCGACCTCCAGCTGCTCCTCTAGGTCTGCATGGAAGGGAGGTGATGAGATACCGCTAAAAACAAGACTGATCATTTTCATTTTACTTCATGATGGTAAAGTCTTACAGGCGAGCTTCTTCTACTGTATATGAACATGGAGGAGCACATCTCACCATTAAAAACTTCCAGTACTGCTGAGCAGGAGTCGGTTCCAAAAGAGTTGTGGGCCACACATTTAAACAGGCCTGAGTCTTCTGGAAATGCCTCAGTGATCACCAGTGTGCACAGCTCCTCTGCAGAGGTCAACACCAGAGCATTAACACTCAACACATAAAGATGGACGGACGGATGGACGGGCGGGCGGACACAAACACATGCACAAACACGCACACACACGCACCCGCACGCACATCCAGTGTCTTCAAGGCTTTTGATGGTTCGTGGCACACAAGGCAACAAAATACAGGTTATGAACTCAGTGACCAGGGATCTGTGAGATTAACTGATGTTTATTCTGTCACTTTTTCCCTGAAACAAATCAGTAGCTGTTTCCAAATCTTCTGTGACAACATATTCCCAAGATGTGTTTCTCTCTTGTGTCCACATGGAGCCGCTAGCTCACTGAGGTAAAAATCAAAAGGTGTTCCAAAACCATCTTCTTATTTCATCAAGTTGTTCCAGTCCTCTTTAGCTTCTGGCCCCTTAAAATGAAACAATATCCCACGTTCATCATTATTCATGGTTTAAGTCTAGACGTAGGTTGTGGGCAGTCATTTTTTTACACTGGTGATCTGTCCAGGATGGGTTAGGGTTAACCCCCACCTCTCATCCAATGCCAGCTGGGATCAGCTCCAGCTCCCTAATGACCCTCAAAGGAAGAGGTACAGATAATGGATGGATGAAGGAGAACCATATTGGGAACCACCTCTTTAAAGTCATTAGTATAAAATCATTATTCTGCCCTCACCTGGCACTGATGCAGAACTGGCTTCTGGAAGAACAAAGAGAAACCAAAGTTAATTCTGCTGCAGTGAAAACACAGTTTTACATTCTGCTCTTATAATTGAACAGATCTACTGTGAACCCAAGTTGTAATGCATGTGACATTACAGAAATGTGTAGTGTATATTATTGAGGTGAGATGAACGTGTTTTACTTTCATGGAAATCATAATTATGCTTAATTAGGCATCGTCTTCAGTTTAATACTGAAGTACTTGGATGTTTAAAACAATGTCTCTGATCTCACCCAGTGTTGACCATAAACTCCAGCCCCTACAGATGCTACCAAACTTCACTGTAGTCAGGGTGAGGGACTGTAGACCTCCAAATATCTTTTTGAAGTCAAATGAATGACTCAACTCATAAACACAAACTTACTCTTGCGTAGAATCCTAAAATCATCTGAGTCCAGTATTTTTTCATCCTCTCTGTACCACATGACCTGCAGAGGTGGAGTTCCCCTCAGTCTGCACTCCAGGACCACCAGCTGGCCCTTCACTGTGGACACATCATGCAGACACTAGGCACCAAAGACGACATCAACGACGACGACGATGATGATAATGATGATGATGATGATGGTGATGAGTGAACAGGTAAACAGACAAGGATACAGATTAGAAGAAGATAAGGACGAATTAGAATAGATTCATATAGAATCTCTCTTTCTCTCTCTCTTTATATATATATATATTTGTAAAGATAATTCAGATATTTTACCTTAACAAATGTAGGAGCCACTCCAGTCCCTGAATACGGTTGATTGTAGATGGGACTCTGAGTCTGGATATAGAGAATTTTCTTATTTAATTAATTAGCTTAACAATCACTTTATGTCTTTAGTTATTTGTGTAGTCGTGCATCTGCAACATTATAGAGAAACAAGTCACAAATGTTAATAACATATTTACATTATATATTGCACATTTGCATGTCTGTCAAATGAGCTGATTTACCATGATAGGAAGCACCTACCATTTGAGGGCTGACACACAGCGGCTGCACCAGGCTGGAGTGTCTCTGAGCCAGGAGGCTGGAGGAAGAGGAGGAGCCCGAGGAGCAGTGGAGGAGCTCTCGTGAGGAAGATGCAGAGGAGGAGGAGATGGTTAGAGACATGGTGCTGGTCTTCTTCTGCACCCTCTGGACGCTACACAGGCACACACAAGGCGGTAAAAACCAACAATGAAAGGATTATATCAGTTCATGTTTGTGTTTGTCAATGTGTGTGTGTGTGTGCGTGTGTTTGTGCGCAGTCAAACTTACTGTGCCATGTTTCAGGCGTTCCAGGAGGCAGTGACTAAGGTTTGTTTGACTCTCTATAAAGACAGGAGCAGAGCATCAAACATCTCACACTCACTCCAACCACAGCTTCTATCCCAGTGCTGCAGACACTTGTTACTGTGGACACACAAGTCTGAGCATGAATCACCACATGAATAATAAGTAAGGTCTTGAGAGTGTGCATGGTCGGTACAAGTTTAAGATCTTGACCTTCTATGTAAAGTGCCTTGAGATAATGCATATTATGATTCGGCACTATAGAAATACAATTTAACAGAATTGAATTAAAATCCATACTAGGATGCATAAAGTGTTGAACCAGCAGTGTGTGTGTGTAGTGACAGATTGTTGGGAGTAAGAGACAGATGTGACATGTACAGGTTAGAAGCATATTTAAAGGGTCAGTGTGTAGAATTTAGTGACATATAGTGGAGAAGTTACATGTTGCAGCTGAACACCCCTCACCTCCCCATCTCCTTCCAAACATGAAAAATAACCTGTGGCAGCTTGAGTTGTCATAAAAACTCAAAAGGTGTTCAGTTCTTTCAGTCTGGACTACTGTAAAAAACATGGCAGCCTCCGAAGAGTAAACAATGATAAACTAAAGAGATGTAGCATATGATCTGCAGTGAGACAGGAGTTAATGTTAAATACAAGCCGTCCCTGTCTGTTTAAACTGAAAACTAGCACAGAATCAGTTTGCTGTCCAGGACAGAGATGATCCAAAAAGCACAGAAGAGTCTGTCCTGTGGTCTGCAGCCATTGACTTCACCAAACACTTGGAGAGGAAGATGTGCTGATTGAATGTGAAGGTCTCCCTGAGTCGCTCCAATAAAAGCGAATGAATAATGAATAATAATCTATAATAATAATAATGAATAATCTGTTATTGTTTCTTGCTGTTGATTGAATTTGTATTGATTTTCAAAATGTGATACACTTTTAATAATTTTTTTAAAATGCATTTTATATTTTCTCAACTAGGCTAGGGTTCTTTATGAAGAAATACAAATAGGGCAGGTGTGGCTGCTTCCAGTCTGTTCCTTCTTAAATGTTGCTGAACAGACAAAGTCTAAGAAAATGATTCGGTGTTATTCCAGAGGAAATCCTTTTTAGAGTAAACACATGGCAACATGTTCTTCAGAGGGGACACCAGAAGGTTGATATGATTCTTTCATAAACTATATACACTTAATTCAAATATTCAAAACAAGCTGAAAAACAGATTCATTTTAACATGGACATACAAAGACAACAAATACAAAATGAATTAAAATAAAAGTTCCATGTAACATAAAGTCGGTGTTCAGGACACAAACAATAGTCTGTGGTCAGAAAGTAAAAAAATTGTTAACTGGTATCAAGGCAAGTTTTTTTTCATGAACACACCCACATCCAATTTTTCCCCATTTAACCTTGTGTTCTGTCGTATATTTGTCATGTCTGACGTTGCAACATGTGACAGAAACTGAACCTCATTAACTCCTTGTCCCTGCTCGCTCTGCTCCACACACAGCAGCGACAGCTGGCTCAATCTTCAGATACAAACCATTCAAATGGAATTTCCATAGGATCCCTCCTGTGACACTGTCGCATGCTGTGTGTTCCTATAAGCTCTGTCACAGCTAGGACAATAAATGCATCACTTCCTATGTGCCAGGCTACTAAGAGGCCTCCAGTGAACGGAGACTATCATGGTTTTACAGCCCTGTGGTGCTGTGTCCTGGGCCCAGAGAAGGAGCTGACAGAGGAGGTCGAGGTTCAAGTTTCCAGGCTAAATAAAACTCTCCTGCCTCCTGAGCACAGCACTGACTCTCTGACCAGAGACAAATCTCACTGTCTCCATTAACAAGACAAATACAGACAAGCAGAGTGGGGTAAAATTCATTTTCACTCCAAACGTCTCTTTTCTGAGTTGTCTGGTGTCTCTCCGTCTGTCTATAGAAGAACATATAGCACTTGTACTAACAAACACAAAATGTTGCAGCTTAAGTAAAAATAGCTGCAACATATACATCATCCATGTGTTCATCCAGTTTTCCCCTCAGATAATCGCTGCTGACAGGTGTGTGTGTGTGTCTCATTGTTAATACAACAACAGCTGCTGCTGCTGAACCCTTCATATCAATTGTCTCTGTGTTACATAACCAGAGGATTTATAACAGTATTCACAGAGTGCAACTAATCTGTTACCTGGCAAGCAATACAGAGGATGGATAGAGACATGCAGGAAGTATTAGTAAGGATAAAGATGGGTTCACACACGACACATAAGCTCTATGGCTTTGAGCAAAGCCACAAATCATTGAATACATTTCAAAAATCTGTACTTGTTTAAGCACAATGCATACCAATTGTCATGTTTATTATGAGTATTGTAAGGTAGAGATTTGTTTTTTTTATTTTTTAAGACTACTGACAGCACAGGGGTACTTCAGGGGCCAATCTGATTTCAACTGGGGCCAGGGGGACACTATATCCGCCCCTGACGGAAGGTAACTACAGATGAATTCAAGGACTGATCCGTCATCTACAACTACTTCAAATTGCAGGTAGCCCTAGAAAACCAATCGGTATGATTCATCTTCTGGGATTTGTGCTTCCAAGTTCTTATGAATTCATCCAGTAGATAGCAATCTAGAATGGCATTCAGTATGGTGCATATGCATCCGCCAATGCCCAACAGTCTCCTTAAATACAATCAAGCTACACCAAATTACACACTCATAGATATCAGTCCCCCACATATTGATTTAAAAAAAAAAAATCCATACTCAGATACTAATTGATACTAAACATTTGTATCTGATTAGATAAAGATACAGATTTGTATCGATACTAACAGTGCGACTTCGCCTCCTCCAGGTGACACAAAACTTCACAAAACACAGCTACCGACAGGCAGGCACACAGCCCCTCCCCTCATTGGCTGAACACATGAACGCTAGTTGACGTTCACTGAGCTGGTGTAGCCTAACTTAACATGACAAGTGCTGCTGCTGAAGGGCCTTTGCAACCAGTTTTAGTTGAAAATGAAAAAGCCAAAGTGCGGTATGGAAGTATTTTGCATACAAGGAAAATGACCAGGGAAAGGCTAAGAATGTTGATAAGTTAACAAAGTGACAAAATGCTGGCAACGTAGTCGAGTAGCACAACAAACTTGGCGAAGCATCTTTAAGACCGGTGTGCATCTTTGGACAGCCCTTTTTTTAAGAGGGGCAGTTAGGTGTTCATTATCTTGCCAAGGCTTTGGCATGCAGATGTGGAAGAACAGGATCGATCTGCCAAACTTCTGGTTAGTGGATGACTGCCCTTCCCCTCGGCCACAGCCAACACAATGTTTCTCTCAGATTGAAGCTGAGAAAGGTCAACCAGCAACTTGACATAAACTGTGATATCGATGTTATTTGCCTGTACTGTTCTAATCTTTATTAAAAAAAAACGTATGCCTCTTAAGTGTTTGTCACTTTTTACCCTGTGGTATTGAAAATGGTAGCAAGTATCGAGTATTTTTCCAGGTATCGAGTTTGAAATTCTAGTATCATGAACACCCTACTAGCAATGTAAATGAAAGTGATAAAAACATTCCTGGATTCCTAAACTTCAAGAAAATGGGTTCAGTAGTTTTTGTGACTCCTGCAATCAGAAAACGCAACCTCCCTGGAGGAGGTGCTACCACTGGCGACCAAACTGGGTTCAATGCACCCAATAAACAACACTGGTGACCTCAAGTCATGTGTGGAGCTGCAGGCTGCTTCTGGATCATAATGCAAGTTTACTACACCACAAATAGCTCCAAACGTACCCACCTGCAGGGTATTCTGGGAGGTATGTTTCACACGTTATTTATCAATATGTCTCGCAGTTTTTAATCACACCACTCATACATTGTCAGCACAGTCATCAGAGGCAGTTTGGGGGTTCAATATTCAATATCTTGCCCAAAGCCTGGGATCGAACCTCCAACCTTCTGGTAACACCTATCCACAATCCACCTTGTTAAATATAAACAAACCACCCACTGTGTAATTCCAGCCCTGCATGCAACACAGTGACGCCTCCGAACCCCCAGCAGGTCTGAGCTGGGGACAGATTTAGCGCAGCAGTGGCACATTGTGGCAGTAGAGCTGGATGTGTTGAAATCTACTGGCAGGCATCTTTGCATAAACTGTGGGCTCTCCTGTGATTGACATCCAAATCTGTGGAGCAATAACATCAGCCACTGGACTTTGACTTGTAGGCTAAACAAGAGTCAAAAGGACAAGAACGATTCACACACACACATGCTGAGTGTGAAACTTTGCCAGTGTGTGAGCTAAACACACTCTCTATACAGACACATACATCACTGAGAAGCAAAATGACAAAAACAATAGGGTAGAATGCCAATCAGTCCTTTGACTTACATTTTCTTTTCAGATAAGATTATTAATCACCAAGACACCATATAAGTTGTGTTAAGTTGTGGACGGTTGTCTTGTTAACTTCAGTATTAGTACAACTAGTATAGTTATGGGTGGAACAAGAACTTCACTGAAAGAAAAGCTCAACAAAAACATTTGACTGATGAGGAGGTGATGCCATCACTGAAGAGATCCCATTTTGGGTTTCAGATTTATTTCTGTACTTAAACCTAACTTGAAGATTCTGCACGTGTGTTCAAACTGTTGATATACAATTTAGTTTCCAGCATATTAATGGCATATTAATATCACTTTTCTTATTAAATGTATTACATAAATTGTTTGGCATGTCTCTACATCATGACATTAATGATCAGGTTCATTATCAGACTGAAGAAATGGTGTTTAAAGACAAACTATGGTCTTATGTAACTCCATTCTCGTAGCGTTAGCTTTGGTATCCTTGTACAACACATGGTCTCTGATTCCTCTTTTACAACACAATGAGCAGGTTTTTAAATGTGGGTAAATCGACCAAAAAAGGCAATTGACTACTTTCCCATTGCCAGTAGAAGAGTTTTCAATTTCCCCCCCTATTGCATCCTGGTCGAAATAACAGACGCACCAAAAGCTGAGGAGCTCCTCCCAAAGTCATCACTGCCGATCGGAGCCAATAAAAACCTGTTTCTGCTGCCGAGTCATTTGACCTGTGACTGAATGTTGGTTGTATCCAGTAATATTACAGACAAAGCCGGTGTTAGTGGGTGTTGTTGGATTTTTTTAACCAGAGGAAAAGGGGGTTAAAGGGGAGGAGACAGGCCACTGCAGTACCTCTGAGGAAAGGACATTATTGGACGGGATGTGTCACTCTTCATTTGTTATGGATACTAATCATGGTAATGACATAGCTTTATCACCTATGCAAACTTTTGCTGCACATCAACTTCTCACTTGCATCATTCTCAAAAACCTCTTAACCCTCCACCTCTCCAATTCTCCCACCTCCTCAACTTGTCTGCTTGAAGGACCGATTTAGCCCGGACTCGGTCACCTGATCTCTCTGTCCGCCAACCACAGAGCTCAGCGGTTAAAGACAGTGTCAAACAGGCACATATATAACTGACACTTTTCATTTACATCCTTACCAAACGGATGTAACAGATTTTTCATCCAGTTCAGCAACAGTTTGCAGCTCTGATGTGGACAGTACACACACACACACACACACACACACACACACACACAGATATACAGATAGATAGATAGATTTCCCTCCAGACTGATCATCTTAGCTGTCGACTTCGTTCTGACAGCCGACTCATCTAGCACTGGCTGCAGTATCAATAACAAGCAGTATCAGGAATCTTGTGGCCCTTGACCAACTGAATTACAGCATTTGATTATCTACCAATCAAAACCAAGAGCACAGAACTATAAGCCCTGACACTCTTGAACCCTTCCCTATTGAATTTCCACACTGCACATAAACATTGTACTGATAAGTGCTGATGAATGACAGACTCCTTCACGATGCAATTGTATCGAGTAGTTAAAATCAAAGTGCAGATGAAGCCACGTGACAGAGGCCTGCCGGGCTACACCTTTTAACACAGTGCTTCCTATCAAATCTTCCCCTTCCTTACCTGTCCGCTCTTTTCCCAGCAGGATCACATACAACAACAATGGCGGCAGATGTACTGATCCAACGGGAATGATCCAAAAGCTAAAAGCAAAACTGCTGTGTGACTCTGTGGCTGCCAGTCATGGCTTCACTGCCGGACGCTCCCTGCTCTGGTTGAGCTGACACACTGATTTACACACAAACACACAGACAGGGGCAGATGTGTGTGTGTGTGTGTGTGTGTGTGTGTGTGTGTGTGTGTGTGTGTGTGTATGTTTAGGGGGGTTGCGGTGGTGGAATGGGGTTGGGGGAATCTGAGGCTGGTGGTGGGGTACTGAGGGGGCAAATTTAGAGCGGAGTAAAGTGTCAACAGTGACGAGCAGCACTGCAGGGCAGAGTTGCAAGTGAAAAGAATCCTTACACTTGCTTCACCTGCCCCTGCGTTGGCTCAGTGTCTGCAGATGATGTCGAATCCAAAATGACAGAGATCACTGAGGTGACACGGCCGGGAGGCTCGATGACCTAACTTCATCCAAGAGAGTGAGGCAGTGGCCAGGAAACCTGTGACTGGTGCCAGTGAGTCTTCAGGAGATATATGAGACCCCTGGAAGAGGGAGAGAGACAGAATGGGACAGAGAGAGGGAGGGAGAGATTAAAAACTCACAATACAAACAAAGAACTACTAAGAGGGTGTAGTGGATACTCACCACCTGTCACAACAAGCCCTTGTCACTATATCTGTGAACTCACCTGTAGGAAGAAGTGTAAGAGGTTATTGTAAAGGCAGGTGGACTCCAGCCCTCTAATCTCTGCGATCCAGCAGCAGCGCTCCGTTTTTCCACCGTGACGACAGCCTGGCGAAGACCGACTCTGATCATGCCTCAGCAAAAACAGCTCTATCCACAGTGAGGTTTACAAAACACTTGTCTGACTTCAAACTCAACATTTATACATATATGGTGTTAAATTAGTTCGACTGTGAAAACCACCTCAAATCTGAACAACAAGAAATTTTGGTTGAAGACTTACTGACGTCAACTATCAGCTTTAAACAGTAGCTTCTAATTTGAACTTATATATTATCAAATATTTTGTCACCTCCAAACTGCATGTCCATCTCACAAAAGTGCAAATACCAGACATTTTAGCGAATATGTTTTTAGGATTATCATACTTATGTATTAAATAATTGATATGGCACTCACACCAGATCCTTTTTCATTGCTCTTTGTTATTATACAAATGTCGGAAAAATGCGTCATGATGGCGTTTAACAGCTTTAAACACATCAATATGTTTACAGCGTCCATGTTTTTTCCACATTTCAACTTCAAACACATCAGAGTCAGAACAATGACTTCACAACTTAGGAAATGGGACCTTCCAAGGAGCATGTTGATGCATATTCCTGGAGGTATCTTGGTTCTAATGAAACATTCCATGCAATTGCATTTTGGGAATTGTAGGACCCAGGAGGTTTGAGCTCGAGTCATCACAGGGATGACACGTCAGGATCTTGTCCTGTAAATTTTGACCATTCTTCGAGCAATCAGACTCACAAGTCCCCCAACTTTCTGACCACTGTCCAGAGGGGATCAGAACATTTCTGACAGAGGGTCAACCATCCAAAGAGGATTAAAACCATCAGAAAGGATCCATGGCATGTTGTATTGAGCCTTCAGACGTGAGTGGTGTTGTTACATGGCGCTGTCCCCTTGACTGTTCGGCAAAGTGATAATGGATGGCTTTGCAGTTGCCTTGAATAGATGTTTTGACTTTGAAAGACAAAAGCATCAGTTGATCAGGTCACCGTAAGGAAATCAAAACAGCAAATGCTCCCGGTACCAGCAACATCTTTTGTTTCAATAACAGTGTGGTCAACAGAAACGACAATTCCCACCCTGCAGTTGAACGCCTCTATGAACCGGAGCAGTTTCAGTCGACATATATTTTTGGGGAATGACTCTCTGTGACCTTTGACAACTGAAATTATATCAGTTCATCTTTGAGTCCAAGCGACAACTGGTCAACATGTGAAGACATTTTCTCAAGGTAAACTATGGATACCCTGTACAAAAAGCCAAAAAATGCCAAACCATGTTTTTTGAAATCAAGTGACTTTGACCTTTGACCAATCAAATCTAAGAATGGGAACAAGTGAACATTTGTGCCTAGTTTGAAGAAATTCTCTCAAGGTGTTTGTAAAATGTTGCGCTTACAAGACCAAAAACGTATTTTGTTACCTAACAGCGACCTCGATCTTTGACCAGTGACAAACTAATTATCATCAGCTCACCAATACGTCAAAATGAACCTTTCTACCAAATGTGAAGAAATTTCCTCAAGGCTTCTTGAGATAAAATGGGACAGATGGACAGACAACACCAAAACATAATGGCTTCAGGCACTGGCTCTCCGGCATGGAGACGTTAAAGCCTGCGAACAGGTATTTCAGAAGTAAATGGGATTCAAGGTTTCTGATGAGTCAGTGTTAAACGAAGCTTTGGGTGGATCAAACTAAAACAAAACACGTCATTATGACCTTTGAAGCAAACAGTGACACAGCAGCATTTCACTCAATTCAATGTTTTTATTGCTGTCTCAATGTCTTTTGCATCTTTACATGGAAACACAAGTGTGTGTTCACCTCAAAGTAAGAGGGGTACAGTCAATGTCAGTCAATCAAACATACTGTAGGTCCAGTGCAAAAGTAACAATCATCCTTACAACATGAGAGGAATGAACTCAATTTCTGTGAAATTTCAACACAATTGTCCTGTAAGTCTCCACTGAAAAATAACTTCAAAATACTGACAGTAGTTGTAAATTATTGGCTAAATCTCAACATCTGGAAAATATCCCAGTAAAAAGACAGTACTAGTAAATTGCTATCAGCCTATTGGTGTTTAACATTTGTTGTTATCAAGCAGCAGGATTCATCCGACCAATAGATAAGTAATTCATCACAATCACTGTGGCCCCCTTAAACTTCCTCACTTCTTCTTCTTCCCTCACTTCATCAAAACCATCATCGTCTATAAATTGTCAATCCACATGTGCAGTCTGGCGCTCCATCTCAGGCTCTGTCAGCTCAGTTAATAGTTTGACTTTCAACGTTTTCTTGAATTGACTTTGTGCTTAGAGGATTGCAGTAAATTCCTTTTTTCAAATGTGTTTTTAAGCTACATCCAAGTTCCTTCTGTAAGGCGACATCTCACTCCAGCCACCCTCGTCATCCTCTAACTCTGCTTAACCTTCCCTCGCAGACTCAATTACGCTTTAGTCGACATCTGCTCGCAGTCTACGTCACACACTCCCACACAAACACACACTTTCTTTAGACCTGCATTCCTCAACTGGACTCTTGTTCCTACACAGCCTGGAAAATAACACTTGCAGCACTTAAAACAGAACTACGTAACTTTTGAAAGAAGAAACAAAAAAAAGGTTTAATAAACAGAATGCACCTGTGATCAGTTCTATATCCTCTAGAGCCTGACTCTGTCTGGTATGTCCATGGTAACCTACAGTGGCAAATGTTAGCAAACCTAAGATATTGTCAAGCATGTGACATTACTCAGTCACTAACCTTATGAATCTCTTCTACCTGTGTTTATGTTATGTTTTAGCATTTAGCATTGTTGTGCACCTGCCACAAGTTACATAACCTTACTTTTAGGGAACATGGCAAACTTAATGCATATTCAATAACTTTTCTGCATCATGTTTCATCCCACTCCAACAAACAGCAAAAGGACAGGATTGGGCCGGATCTATGGTTTTCTTCATACTATCGGTACAGTTTTCAAACATGTGAGATGGGATATAGAGGGACAGTGTTGTGGTGTAAAGGAAATAATGTGATGCATGTATCAGTTAAGAAATGTAACACACTACACATCTAACATGTATCATAACATAGAATTAGACTGCATGGCAGCCTTTGTCATACATCAGTCTCCTGTGCCTCATAGATAACGTCTTAATTCTCACATATCAATTCAGTCACACTATCAAAAACGTCCTCAATAGGCTGAAGGTGGGCTGTGGGTGAATGGAGGGATTTGACACAAGAGAAAGAAAGAGGATCTAGAATAAGACATGAGGAACAAACTGATCTTGATAATGGTGATAGACACTATAGAGGGCGAGACGAGAGCAGATAGGCTGAGGTGAGAGCAGAGGGAATAAGACTTAGCAGAGAGAAGAGATGTGTTGACAAATTGAGAGAAGTGGAGGTGGTGGGAGAGATGGAGAAGTGAGTCACAGTGAGCCTGAAACAGTGGAAGGTGTAGGAGGAAGTGCACTGATCTCTCTCTCTCTCATTAGTGACAGAGCTACAGTCAAATGTTCAACAGACGACAAAGTGCAGCAGAAGAAGTCTGTATCTAAAACTCACAAAGATATCCTCACTGGATTATTTCAGATCAACACACGACACTGATTTAAATTTGTATAGGAGCTGATTTCTGTGCTGTTTCTTGGAGTAGGTGGAAGAAAGATACAGATTAAAAGAAACGTAAGGATGTAAAGAAAATAAACTTACTTATATTATCAACAAAACATAACCCTAAACTCAAGACAAAATGTAATACTAGATTTAAGTCCAAATTATGATCAGATCTGTCATTGTAATATAATTGCATACAATGATATAATTGGTATTCATACAAATACATTATTGCTACAACAATACTTGAATCCAAATTTAAATGAACATTCATACCAATTCTGAAAAAAATTAATAAATTGGCTATATCATCTAATGAATGAAAGAAGTAGCTTTTGGTAATTACTTGTTTGTATGCACGTACATGTAAACGCATGCATATACAGGAGAAGCAAAGACAGGCTTTACTGTACATTGGACAATTGGTGAACCCACTTTTGTGGTTAAAGACTGATTTTGTCTTATGTAGACTTTAATGGCCAGAGTCTTGATCAGGATCCAAACAAATCTGACACTGAGTAGCACTACTCTTCTGCCAGACAGATCATTTTGATGTGTTGTATCTGAACGCATTTGTCAAGATTCAAAAATAAAAAAGCGAACCCTTGTGACTTGCTTAATACTGAATTGATTTGAATTGGTAAGAGATTATTACACAATATTGTATTATATAAAGAGGTTTGAAATGATCGCCACCATTTTGGACCAATAGGTTGTGAAAAATAGTTTGGTCATATTGTGTTGAAACTTTACACAGCTCAGTAAATGTTAGCTTGCTCATGAAGATTTGCTATTTTAGCCACATGCTAATTAGATATTCTGCATTAGGCTATGTAGCTCACATAGTTCTAAAATATTTAGCCCATGTTAGCTAGTATTCTGCGACTGTCAGCATATATTTAAATTCTTGTGTAACTAGATATCTGGTAGCGACTTAGCGATATCAGAGTCCAGTTTAAATTACTCTCACAGAACCAGCTGCTCTAATATTACATCAATAAAAACTCAATGTATCACTGGATATAAAATATTTGGCACAATGTCTGATAGTCACAAAACTCAAGAGTAATTACATATAGAGAGAAATGTATAACTAGCTGTTTAAGCTAAATCTGATGAAGGAATAAAAAGACTGGTAAAGTGAAAATGAATCTGAAATGAATAAATTGAAAATTCACATTTGAAGGTAAAACCCAATAACTTCTTCACTTTACCCAAATCTAACACTTGTCTAAAACATAAATGTAGGCTATTAAATGTAAGAATGCTAGCAACATTAATTTGCATATTTGTAATAATTAGCAAGACACTTCAGTCCAGGGGAGTTTGTAGGCTGATATGTTGGTTGGAGTCTTTTGAACATTGTTAAATATTACACCTCAAACTATGTGTGCAGACATAGATTATTTTTCGTCAAATCACTTTTCATTAGTTATCAAGGAAGCCAATAAATCAAAGCCTTTGATCTTTGGTTTCTTAAAACAAAATAAAACAGGCCTTTTCACTTTTTTCACCACAGCTAATTGCATCTTTTCAGACCCAGGGTCAACTAAAAAAGGTTTTTTCTCAAGGTGATCCATTCAAAACAAGTGTTTGTTACATGTTGGGTGGTGAAAGAAACAGATCTAAAGCCAATGGCTAGCAGTAATCTCTTATACACAGACTGGACTGCAGAATGACTTAAAATGTTTCCCACTTTGAAAAGTAAAAATAATTTCAAAGTATGATATATTACAGAAAACATGTACAGAGAGGCCATTGTGCAAAGAGCCTGACTTCTACATGTTAGGAGAAAATCAACCACAAAACAGAATTCACATGATACATTTGTTGATCGTGAACATGGTAAACATGGATATGAGCCTTCAGGTTCAAGTCCATGTTCACTAATGTTCTAGGATCATGGAAATAACATGTCTAAAGTCTGCTTTGGGATAGAATTTCACATTCATAAGCCTATACTTCTGTACAAATACTGTACATAAATATGTCAATTATACAATATATAGAAAACAGTGCTTACAGGAGTATATACATCCTATGCTTTACAATAGATGCAAGAAAACAAAAAAAAGCATTCACTGCCTTTTTGAGATAAGTTGATTTGTGTCTTTACCTTTTATGCTGTACATCTGAATTATGGCTCCTACAGTAAAGTTAAAGGCTTTCCAGGTCCTTAATCAAATCATAATAAGATTTAAGTAAAATAGTGCAGATCTGAAATAGAGTGAACGCTCAGCGAGGACTGATCCAAAGGGAGTGCGCAAGAAAATGTATTGGCTGAATTAGCAACTGATTTCAGGCTAAGCAGAGAAAGAAGTTGAAATACAGCTCATTAATTAGGACCAGAATCGTCTGTGAATAGTCAAAGAGAACTATTGTGCAATGGTATTATGCATCTCAATACTGACATTTGTCCTGACTATAAGGTTTGCATGGACAGTATAATTACAGCTAAGGATACAGCTAAATGTAACTGATTGGGTCTATAATGGTAATGGTCAGGCTGACTCACTGTCACCCAGAGTAACTGTCAAAAAAAAAAAGTGGGATGAAACAAGGTGACAGTGCAACTTAGTCAACATTTTGGCCCCAACATCTGGCCCAAAATGCCCAGATCATGTCCTTAGAGGGAATGAGGTTGATAAACAGCTTCTTTTGTCGCTTTCACTCCTTTTCACACAGTGGCTGCTTGCATGCGAGTGAAGTAGATGATCCAGTTACACGCCACAGCCAGGCAAATGGATGTAAGTGAATGACAGATATAACTAGCAAAGTTACCGTTACAATGGAGCCCTTCAGAAAAAGTGAACTGATCCTGGAGAGATGAGCTGAATATGGTACAAACTGAACAGACTTGTGGTGTCTGACAGATGTGTAGAGGAATCATGAGGCCTAGATGTTGACCAGTGATCTGGTGTTCATGAGAACTCACCACATATTCAACTGAATCAATCCATCAATTTTGCTTCCATGTGGATTTTTCAGAAAACAGGACCAAAAATGACCAAATGATGATCAAACTGATCAGGCATGTAAAAAATGACTCCTTCATGGACAAGTGAGGCAGCAGTGACGTCCCGATTTTTGTGCTGCTGTCGCTCAGGAGGAAGTGTGCTGCCGCTGGCATCATGATCAACTCAACTATGGATCCATACATGGAAACTATACATGAGTGATGCATCCAGGAGAATTAATTGATCCTTGTCTTCTGCCCGTGGAGGTCAACACGAGTCTGCACAAATATAAAAAGGCATCACCAGGCGATCACAGAATAAAATAGGCAGACATCACCAGTTGATCCCAGAGTTCACAGGTCCAGTCATTACCAGCTGAACAGAGTGTTCTGTCCAAGAGTCATGAAGTAAATCTGACTGCTGCCTCCCGACTGCACCGAGGCGAAGAACACCTGCAGCAAGACAGACTCAGGTTTAGGAACAACATTGAATGTCCACAAATGTTACTCTGGTTGTGGGTCATTGCTGCTGCACAGCAGGGGATAATCTGCACGATTCTTTGGTCTGATTTAGCCCTCCCAGTTCTCTGAAATCACTGCTCAGAAAAGGTCTGTTTAAACGCCAAATGTGTGGTCTGGCATCTCTACTGGATCATCTAGTGTGTGTTCTCATGATTAAAAGATTCAAAATCACATCTGTCATTATGTCTTTGGTCTCCCACTTTTTTAAAACCAGTTAAGATTTGAAAATCCTGTAGCAGGTGTTACTGAGGTTATGTTGTCAAGAATAGATGAGTAATATGGTTGACAACATATATTTTATCTCACGCCACAACAGAAAAAAAATCTTCCTCTAAGTCCACAAGCTAGATTTCTTTGGGGACTTTGAGCCATATCTCAGCAGACTGAGTTTTTTCATGAAGACTGTTCAGCTGTCAGCATGTTTTACTTTTTTGATATGAAAACAAACAAGTGCACCTGCTAGGACTGCGTGGCCGTGTGTGGCTGAAAGTTCTGAGAGAAATCTAGTGAGTGAACCTTCATTCAAGAACTAATATTTCTTAGGTCAAGAATAAGTGATACTGGTGCTTCCTAATTTTTTATTAAGTATAAGATAATGGAAGCTCATTTAGTATAAATACCATATTTATATATTTTAAACAACATACTATATCCATATAAACATATACAAACAACTTGATTTAACATGACATTTGCTTTATATCCGTGGCCACAGCAAACAGAACTGTAGTCTTTATAGCACTGTTGACTGAACATTTGAGCCTTTATTACTCGATCAAATTTGAAGGTTTACATTTAGATAATGAACTCATGTGTTTGTAACTCCTACCTTGTCATTCCTCTCACAAAGGAACTTGAGTTTCTGGGCCTTTTTGTGCATGAACACTCCCTCCAGGTTTCCTGTGTTGGCAGACCTCAGTTCAATGGCCTTTTCTCCCCAACCCATCACCTGGTTAGACTGCAGGTAGGCTGGAGAGAGAGAGATAGAGAGAGACAGATAGGTAGAGTTAAGGTTGAAAGTGTGTGTGTGTTCAAATTGCTGAGGCCTCAGAAACAATAATGGCACCATCTGCTGAAATAGCCATTTTGGAGTGGTACCAGGTCAACAAAAATCAGGATAGGCAAGTAGTAACGATGGTTAAAGTAAAAGTCTCCAGGAAATCAATGTAAGTCAATGTAATGTCCTGTGAAGTTATGGGGACAAGACTGTGTCAGTGTGTGTAAATATATTCCCCACAGACTGTCCTTGTGAGAATAATGACCCATCTACTGAAGCCTACATGCTCACATTGAGAATCCAAACCATTTTATTTTTAGTTCAGCCTGTCCCAGATCTGTCTTTATAGAATCTGGTTCAGGGTAAGTCCTCAGTGCTCAGGACACCTCCTGGTCTAGAAACAGTGAAGCTAGTAAACTCTAGCTGTTTGAATGATTTAATATTAACTTTGGAACACAAACACTGTGTATACTAATATACTTGATAATTTTGTGTGTGTTATCATTTCATGCCTGTGAAAAACAATATGCACACTCCTTGTGTCCATTAGTGAGGCTGGCTGACATAATGTGATGTCTATAAGGGAAATAGATTTTGCTCATATTGCACAACTCTACGTTTGGGTGTGTGTGAATGAAAGGTACCGACTGATGCAGGCATCTCCCCCCACTGCAGCACTGTATCCTTGGTGATGCGGCCGTAGGTGTCAATGTAAACGCCCTCGTCTTCGTAGCAAACCAGAACCTCCGTTCCAGCGCTGTTTGGCAAAATGATGATGGCGTGGGGACGGATGGAGCCCTGGATCTGTGAACCAAACACAATCCATTCTAAATCAACAACAAAAAAACAACCAACCAAAAACTGTGGTGCAATTTCAAACACTTTAGTGTGTTTCAATGTTTGGACACTTCTTTGTACATAAAACATAAAGGCACATCTCAAAGATAACAATTGTCTCAAAGTCTTTTGGTTCAGATGTTACTGACAATGTCTTTAAGTTCTAAAGCCAAAAACAATGATCTCTTGTTATTGTTTTTATTCTTCAGGTTAACTAATTGAAAACGACCAGAATTAAGAAAGTTTACAGTAAAAGACTACAATAAAAATACAACATTTAATTTGATTTAAAGGGGGAGAGGTGGATTCATTCTATTAAAATACAATGAGATAGACTGTGAGTGCACAGATATAGTTGGACTTCTTTCAAAAATGAGACTCATACAGTTGAAAGCCCCTGATTGAAGCATGAAGGTCAGTTCATGACCAATTTCAGTGCTATTTTATAAAAAATGACCCAAACCTTAAAACAGTCAAATGCTAAATATCTGCTGCTTATTAGCAAAAACGTTCAGTTTGACAAATCTTTTAAATGACCCTTCATCTTTTTAGATTTTAGCCAGCAACCATGATCCTTATTAAAATAACAATATGCATTAACATTTCTCTATGCAGGAAAGAAACATTTCTCTAAACCGTTCAGAAATGTTTATCTGACTAGAATAAATAGTTCAGAAAGTTACCCAACCAGGGGTTTGTCTAAGAAGTTTGTGCAACCAACCCAAAGACATTTATCTGACATTTCTTTAACAGTTCAGGAACACATCTCTTCCAATCTAGAAACATGGATCAAGTCAAGTCAATAACATTTATGCAATAATTCAGGAAAATGCATTTCAGACGAATTCAACGTGCTTTATAGGAAAGCAAGGCAAACATAATTCTGAAGAAAAAAAAGGAAGAAAACCGTTAGTTGAGAAATCTACTACTGAGAAGAAAAGTCTAGAAACAATATGTCAGCATCTGTCAAACATATTTCTACTAGAAATAAAACTACTCAGGACGAAACTCTGCAGAAGCTCACATCTTAACCTAAACAGGGAATCCCTGTTTAAATTCAACAACGAAGCTCCATCGGAAAAAAGATATAAAGAGTTAATCAGAATCCAGAGCTCTGTAACAAACAGCAGGTCAATGTTTCGTACATTACCAGAGTGTGAGCCACCACGATCCTGAGCATCAGAACAGGCATCCACAGACGCAACGCAATCTTAATCCTCTGCCTTGGAATCAGCATTGTGACATAGTTTGCAGGCAACAATGGAAGATGCTTGTGTGCATGTGTGTGTGTATGTGCGTCTTCAAGTGGGTGAGTGGTGCATTTGTGTGTGTGAAATGTGGGTTATGCTTGTTTTTGTGAATTGCTTTTGACAATGACACAGTGTTGTGTGAATGTGTTCTACTGTTGATGCAAGTTGGGTGTGTGGGTGTGTGTGTTTGTGGAAAGATGTGCAATGTAGGAAGAGAAGGAGTGTGTGTGTGTGTGTGTGTGTGTGTGTGTGTGTGTGTGTGTGTGTGAGGATGAGTGTGAATCAGAGTACAGACGATGTGCAGCTACAGAGAAATCCTCGGAGTGTGAAGTGTCTGTAAGAGTACTCAAAGAAAGTGAACTATGAGCATTTTGAAGTATAGGTGAGTGGGTTTCTAAGTACACTGTAGCTGAGTGTGTGTGTGTGTGTGTAAGAGAGAAAAGGAAAAAAAAAAGAGAATGAGCGAGGCTTTCGGGGTGAAAAGATATTGCAGCAGCAGAAGTATAAGGCACCGGTGTAGTAGGAAGCTGTGTGAAGACTCGCTTAATATACCAGAGTGATGGAACACACACACACACACACACACACACACACAGGATGTATTTTTAGCTTATTTCTCTCGTCATACATTTCTCTTGCTCCATCTTCAACTTGCTAACAGCAAGTAGCACATGTTGGGTTATGCTCGCTTGTGTGTGTGTGTGTTATGACCTGCTCTTGCTCTGTCCTGAACTGAGAAGTATTTCACAAAATGTTTCACACAACATTTCTCCATCCACCCACTCACTCAACACTATATGAGCACACAGTATTTAAAAATTCTGGTATATGAACCAACAAAACAAATAAATACATAATTGTTTCATCTTACAAAAGAAAAATGTGAAGTGTGACTACTTTGTGATATCCTGAGCTAAAGAAAAAAATAACAGGATGTGTTTGAATCTGAATGTGAGTATGACTCACCAGAAGCTACAGTGAGCTCTACATGCCCACATACAGCTGAGGAGAGGGAAACAAATCAACTGCCTTTTTAATTGTACCAGCAGTGGGCAATTATTTTCTGCATTTAAAGACAACTTAATTCACAAAAACCTTATTGGACATGGAAATAGCAAAAGTTTACAGACTCTGAGCCATTATAATAGGTATATTTATAGGTAAATTAAAGAAATATGACCAACACAACTTTAACACTGATAATACGTGAAATACTTAGTCATTGAATGCATTTACTGTTAGACATATAGCAAAGACATTCATTGTAATAGAGAGTGGGTGCTCACAACATAAACTAGAAATGTAAATCTCATTATGATAAAAGATTAATATTTACTTTTAAGTCCACCGGAACTTACTATCTGTCTCTACTCTGGACCCTCATACGGGTCAAGCCACAAATCGCTGGATCCTACATTTCTTTCTGACAGTGTCTCTAAGCTCCTCTGCCTTGTGAATATCCATGAATCTTGATGCACACTGTTTGTTCGAACTGAGGTAACCTGATGTATCACTATGACAACACAAGGGTTATTTTCTGTGGACAGCTTTAGGTTCAAAAGTGATGTATTTGAGATTTTATCACAGGGACCACGTGTCCTGGGATTCATTGAAGGATCACCTAATCAGCTGATGTCCCCTGACCCCCTACATAAAAAAATATTAATTGATTTTCTAGTTTATTATTCCAAATGAGTAAAATCTGATCAGATATCATTGCTCAGTACTTTGTTTCAGTCAGTCCTCATTGCCTCACACACACACTTGACCCATCTATACGAACATGTTGTTGCATGAAGTCCAATGTCTAAACAGAAATGTGAACATGAGTCACAACATTCCTTTATCAGTTCTGCTCACAACCGGACTAGAGACAGAAATACAGACAGAGAGGAGGGGGAGCAAATGAACGATGCAACATTGGATGATAGAGTGGGAGGAGGAAAATGAAGAGATGGATGCAAAAGGAAGAGAAAAGAGTGTAACAGCTATAGACTGAGTGGGAGGAGAGTGGAGGGGGTGGATGGAGGAACAACTGTGAGGAATAAAGAGAGAAGCTAGAGACATCTGTAGGCTGAGAGTGAGAGGAGGACAAGGAGGAGGAGAAGAGCATCCTGAGGGACTGAGGGGGAGAGAGGTGAGCTGTTGGAATAGAAAGTTAACAGCTGGGGGATAGAAGACAAATGTGGGCCAAAATCAAAGTCAGGTATGATAAAGATCTCCAACTACAGGGAGAATGAGATTTCTATATCATGTGTACAACCTCAGAGATCGAAGATGTCTTTGCTCGAACAGTTCATTACTGGAGGAAGCACTAAAACAATCCTGTACACTGCCTACATTGTTTTCTACAAAGAGAGTGCAGCCCCGGAGATGCCTCTGCCTTTTATTAAATGCCACTTTAACTAGGCGTCTGTGTACAGAGTACATCAAAAAAAATAAAAATAAGTATACATATGTAAAACGGAGACTCTTACATGAGTAGGCAGGTAGAGGTCGTATGGTGTTCCAGAGTCAACATCGATGGCGTGGAACCCGGACAAGGAACCGTAGATGACCTTCAGTCTTTGACCTTCCTCCACTGTCAGGTCAACAGACAGTGGCTTTTGAGGCAGAGACCTGAAAGACTGTTTAGAATGTGATGAGTTAGAATAAGGACGGTGTGAAAACCTTCTAAGGGTTCAATCATTATCTTTACTGATAAATTCTCAAAATATAAAGTGACATCAGCAGTGTAACCAGAGCCACTAAATTGATAATCAATTATCAATGACTTTTAGAATTTTAAGAGCAGTTTCATAAAGATGGACTTCCTCAAATAGTCATGCTATTAACTCCGAATGAGAGCTTCAAGTGTATTTTTGGCATTTTCTAAAGAGAGAGGGTTAAACTATGAAGTGTGGAAAAAGTAGCTCAGGCCACAAAGGACACAAAGAAATGGGACACTGCTCTGCCGGGATTCTGTGTGTATAAACTCCTACAGCCTGGGTGTTTCAGCCCGTGCATGTGAAAATGTGGAAGTGACCCTATTAGATTAGATATTTTGTTCCACGACAATCAGTGTTTTGTACTAGATGTAAAGAGAGAAAGGACAACTGAGGACAACATTGTTAACCTGTTTGTTTGGCCAATTCAGAATTAATAATTGTCACTGAAGAAACGAGAATATTCAACACTACCGGAGTTCAAGCCTCACATACATTATGAGGGAAAAGTGAATACATTAGTAAGACATTTACTTTGTTACTGTTCTTAAAGGTCCAGTGTGTAAGATTGAGAAGAAAGGGAACTATTGGCAGAAATATAATGTAGAATAATCCTCATAATGTTTTCACTAGTTCATTTCGTCTAAATTGTATGAATTGTAGTTTTCTTTACCCCAGAAAAGGTCCTTTATATTGAAATACTTTAGATTAACATCGAGGGGACCCTCTCTACGGAGGCTGCCATGTTTTTTACATTAGTCCAGACTGGACAAACTAAACACCTTCTGAGTTTTATGACAACTGAAGCTGCCACAGGTTCTTTTTTATGTTTGGCAGATGAGGGTGAGGTGAGGGGTGTTCAGCTGCAACATGAAATTTCAACACTAGATATCACTAAATTCTACACACTGTACCTTTAAGTACATTTTTTAAGTATCTGTACTTTACTTCAGTACATTTATTTTCAAGCACAACATATATCAGCAAATATCTGTACTTTCTACTCTACTACGTTTTTAAGATGCATTGTGTCACATGTTCACATTGTTGATTTATATTTACATATTTTTCATTTTATACTTTTAAGTAATCAGAGAGGGTTATTGGTTCACTGATCCAATCAGAGCAGGCAGGTAATTTTACAACCCAGCTGAAGAAGAAACACCTCAAATGAATTTGGATGAACCCACTGCAGAGACTCATCCGTAATTCTAAATATATTTAATAGCAATTACTTATATATACGTATTATTATATATATTATATTATACTTTTACTCAAGTAGAAACATTAATGCAGTACTTTTACCCCAAGTACCTTTTTGCCTATCTAGTTGTACTTTTACACAGTAAAATGTTTGAGTAATTCCTCCACCACTGCTCTAAGAAGTGTGTAAATGTAATGACTATTCACCAAGTTTTACTTGAAATAATTTCTATACAATTCTTTCACCCTGATACCAGACACATGACCCAATGTTACCAACCTTGAAGGCCATGAACTTGTGGTAGGGTTTTGGGGCCCAGGCATACACTTCCACAGCATTCTTCAAAGCAATCACTAGGAACTTTATCTTCTCGTAACGCACTGAAAAACAAAGACACCTTTACAAGACTGTAACTTCCCCCCCTGAGCTTAATGTCAGAGGAAAATGTGAGCCATGTGAATATGGTCTATAGTGCTCTTAAATAAGAACTTAGAAGTGGGTACTTACCCACTTTATAGTGTACACAGCCCTCCAGGTCACCTACTGAGGTCCAACCCAGTCTCTTCTCCACCTCTGGGTCATTATGGAGGATTTTATTCCTTAACCAGGACAGGTAGTACAGACGGAGCTTGTTCTTTTTACCTAGGGCGGTTATAATGTTATCATAGAGGTCTTTGTGCCAATTCAACTGGAAAAAGAAACACATTTATTAAAAAAAAAAAACATTATTGCAACAACATTGCTGGAGTGTAGGTAAAAGGAAGTGTGACGACAATCTCAAAGCAGGCCTATCCCTGCAGGAACCTGATGGGAGGGGCCTGATCGTCAGGGAGATTCCCCTCGCTTGGTCTGGCCGCAGGATAAATGCTGGCAACATTCAGCCAGTTTCTCTCTCCCCCATGGCTTCCACAGCACTTGGTTTTGGTAGTACTTTGATTTCTACATTTACAGTTCCTGTTCATTTCTTTAAATAAACTTATTTTTAGTTTAAACTCATGTGTGGTCTCGCCTACTTTGTCCAGCCTTGAATCAGGTTGTGACAGAGGGGAATTCGAGACAGTGGAGGCAAATTTGTGAATCCTTGATTTTACTTAAATTTATTTCTCAATTTTCTTTGGGATGAAAAATCAACCAAGTGCTGATGGCATACCTGATTCTTCAAATATTACCATTAGCAAGGCCAGAAGATATGTGACTATAGTTATTAGACAATCTACATCACGACAGAAGACAAACCCCCACTATTCCTCACTATATTCTGATATTTTGAGATGACGGTGGCTTCTCTGTTTCTCTCTGTTTCAGTCTAGAGGGTAAGACAAATGTTCTCAGGTAACATTTACCTGATATAGTGATGAGCACATTGAGTCCTTCCAGAACATCCATCTGCTGAAACCTTCGCCTGCTGATGAGAGAGTAGACTTTCCCTTGACCACTTCTGTCCAACAGCCACAGACCATTCTCTGTCCCCACCAGCAGATTCACACCTATGCAGCAGAACAGAGACAAACCTTACACTCACAAGCAAAATGCTGGGCCATGCATCTATCTCTCTGTGCGACACTAGTAAATCTGAATATTGGATATTGATGCACCACAAATACCATGCCAGCTTCTGGTGTGACTGTATGAACATCAGTGAAACATCACTGTATTTCAAAGTAACAAAAACAAGCGATGCTGAACTACAAACCCCATAGTCCTGCACAGAGAACCTCTGTGTTGAACTTCTTCTTGTACTTGCGGATCTCTGGAGTGTCGCTCTGTGGTCGAATGTTGGTCGGGTTCACATTCACCACAGAGCCCTTCCTGTGGTTCTGTCTTTTGATTGGCTCACCCTTAACACCAGCTACATGAGAGCAGACAGTTCACAAAAACATGATGATGACCTCATGAAAAAAACAGATTATTAATATAAATTATGACACATTGTTCCATCTGTTTTAGAGCTGTCCTTTAATCGATTCATTTGGTCAACAGGTGTTCCCTTCTTTTCTGAGGTCTATCACCAGATGGTCTCTCCTGACAGGGACTTGGCTGTATTTGGATGTTCTGAGAACTATTTAATTTATCATTAACAAAGTCTGGAACAGATCAACTACACCATACTCTAGGAACTGGCTGCATGAACTTGTCTCTGTCACACACATTGAGAAACTGCGACAAAATAACTCAAAATGCCGACGCAAATGGATACCTGGACTTTAACCACATTTAGTTTATATACTGTAGTTATTTTCTTTATATAATTATTTTTTCTTTTGGTTCTTTATATTTCTGGAATTGATGGGCTGGATTTAACAAATGCATGTGGATGATGTGTACATTCATAAGTTGTTTTTTTTGTGTGTCCTGGACACAAGACAAACTTTTCTATGTAATGTAATAACTCTCCCCTCATGTGATTCTATATATGAGATCAGGTTGAGCTTTCAGCTTTGACTTGTGTCTGTTTTGAAAATATTGATTAAAAACTTTTTTTACTCACTGGGGCTCTGTGGTGGTGATGACATGGGGATCAATCTTGGATCGATGAAGGACAGGAAGGAGGAAGATGAGGAGGAGGTGCTTTTACCAGTAGGACTGCTGACAGCCTGATGAGTAGAACCACAGTAAGAATGTATATTGCAGTGACTACAAGTATGCAACCTTCAAAGCTCAACAACTATCAGATTCTTCTTCTATTTTTACTCCCTAACAACAATTTCAGCAAATAACTGGTTGATATGACGGACATATGAAACACATGGCTGACTGTGTTAATATGAAGACTGATACTACTACAGTCCTACTAAGACACATAAATACTGATAAGAAAGCACCAAAACTGTGCCACCACCTCCCTCTAGCGGAAAAATGGAACTGGTGCAAATAGTCAGAATATTATTTTAAAACATGTTAAGTAGCTTTGACAATGGACAATGTTCTCAAATGCTTATTAACTATTAAGAATATTCAGCCTTTTATCATCACAAAGACATATGTTTTACAGAGGTATTTCACTGTCAATAACCAGAATCAATCATTTTAATAATAAATTTTTCCAGTGGATGTATTTATTAAATGCCTAATTTCTGAAGACAGACTCTGACTGTCTCCTTGTGTCTGTCCGACTGTACATTCTGTTTACCGTGTCTGAATTTAGTTCCTGATGTGTGGGGCATCGAGGGGCTGTGGGCGACTGCGAGTAGCTGAGTTCATGTGTTTGCTGCTGTTGGCACAGTGCATTATGGTTAGGACTGCAAGAGGAGGTTTTCTGAAGAAGGTCTGGCAGCAGGTAAGTATCGTCAGAACCCATCCGAGAAGTCTGTACAATACAATCACACAGACACACACAGTAGTAATAAAGTGATGGAACGGCTGAAGCCCCGTTGACAGACAGGCATCAAAAAGGCACAACCTCTTTATATAGTTAAAAAGTTTTATATTTTAACTCATTCAATAACCACAGAGCCTGTGAACCCCTATGCAACCATTTACAAAATGTGGTTTTAACAGTATAGGATGGACATTGCTGCCTTCAGCTGTTAAACATGAAGATGCAGGGAGAAGTGTGGAGAGGAAACAGGTTAGTGTCCATGTGTTTGTGTGTTTGTGTGCAGGGTACCTGTTGCAGATTGTGGTGAGGTTGCAGGACAATACCATCAGGTATTCTTCTGTAGTATTTCCCTTTTCCATTGGACAGAGCAGACCTTGGAGCACAGAGACCGGTCATGGGTTTAGAAAAGAGTCAGACTTCATTTGTTATTTATTAGTTATGAACAAGATCAATTCATCCAATGGCAATAAAAACAAGGCTGAGTAACTTACTGAAATAAAATAATAATAATAATAATAAAAGAATAAACACTAATCTTTTTATTCTCTCCCAAGCAGACTCAAATGTAATTTATCATGTCAATAATACATTTTGCTTTAATTCCACATTTGTGGTAATGTAAAATGTAAACCAATGACAGATTAAGCTTGTCCCAGTTTGATTCTCGAGGTTTGAGATGCCTCAAATAAACCTTAAATACATGCATGGGGTTTTAATCCCGTTTTCTATATTTGCTCTATTTCAAACTTGTCAGTTTTGTGGGTTCAGCAGAAACGTCTTCACATATACAGTAGGATTTCTCCGCAGAAATCTGAGTCAGAATAGAGACTCTTCATACTAATTCTCCACAAATGTCTTCTGCTAGCAACATGTCATGTTTCACTTAAAGAATTGCTCAAATCTTTGTATGCAAGACATCTTTATTTTGAAGTCCCTGTTTTTTTAGATTTAAAAAGATCAACGCAGGTGATATACTGATGATGATGAAGATCCCCACCTGTTCCTCTCTTCATCATCACTGCTGCCGACCTCATCGCTGGAAGAGGAGTATTCTGTGGCTTTGTTGAGTCGGACAAGAGCAGATTTTACACCCTGCATGATGGAGGTGAGGAACAATATAATTAAATGAGGTGAGGAAAGTCGAAAGATCAGTTTATGCACAGGTATGTGCCACATAAGAAATGTCAGAGCAGCCGTATATGGTCATTGCTGTGAAAATGTCAAGGTAATTTACTTGTGCGTGCCCCCCGGACATGTTTTCTTTTGTGCTTCTGTGCTGCTGGTGACGGTGATGTAGAAGAGGACTCTCCAGCTTAAAGTAACCTACGAAACACACACACACAAACAGAAGTTATGCCACGAGAAAATAGCAACAGATTAGTATTAAGTGAAACACTGAACCCATGCCCTGACGATGGTGAGATGCCACCATGAAACATTGTGGCCTTTGCTTGGGATCATACATAGGGTGCAGTGGAACAGTCTGTTTTCCTTAGGAAGATGGATGAAATGACACAAACAATATTTCAGTGGCTTGGAGGATTCGAATCAAAAGTAGTCACTGGAGGAGCAATCAGGCAGATATTTATGCCAGGTTTTTACCAGAGTATTCAGAGCCATCCACTTGTGATCGCATCTCTCAGGACAGATGATCAAATTAAGTCTGAGTGTCAGAAGTTGATAGAACACTTTTAGGGAAGGATCTTTTTGTTAGACAAATCATATGGGTTTTCATGTAAAATAAAGTTCCCACCAGCATTGGTAACACCATACACCAGACAGAGGTTACCGATCTCTTGCCTCCCACCCAAGATAATCAAATTATATATTATATATGTATCAATGTCACAAATGAACATTTCTACTACAATGTAGTTGAAAGAACAAAGCAGCTTGTTCTCAGTTGCAGAAACAAACAAAAGGCTTTTCACCACAGTAAAGCTGAATGAGTCTCTAGGAGAATCTCTGATCTGTGGCTCTACAACAAGTAGGGCCGAGGCCAGGAGCCAAAGTGAGTGGGCAGCATCAAAAAGAGGAGCTTAATAACAGATGTGATATCTATTTTCCTAGACACACAAGATTATAACCTATAATCTGTGTTGTACACTCTCACTGCTTAGAGTATGTGTATTCACTGTATATGTTGTTTGTGGTGGGCTTGGTGTGACTACCTACATTTGGTGTATGTGTTTATGAGTGTGTGTATGTGCATGGGGGGGGGGCACACACATACACAACCTCTTAAGTGATTCTGACAACTTAACAACTTCATCAGTTGCTGTAGGACAATTTACAGCAGCATAGGAAACACAGACATGCATGTGGGTGAGTTTTTTATTTTTGCAATCTAGCTCAAACATATACCCTTTGCATGATTCAACACTCTCAGGAGATGATGGTCACAAGTCCCTGACAACTTTATTTTTGGAATCAAAGGCTGGAAAGTTTTAGAACCCCTGATTTAGACCACAGGAGGTGACTGAACAACTAGCATCTCTCAAATCTTTCAACAGAACTAAACCAACCTGCACCTTCTGGGGTTTGTCTTAACTTTTCATTCAGCAGAACACAGCATGTGGATAAGCATTAAAAAGGAGCTGAGTTAAGTCTGCACAGACCTGGGGGTTTGCTGCTGGTAGAGGAGACTACGTGAGACTGGGACCTTCCACTATTATCTGCTGCAGACACTGGACCGCCACTAGATGGAGAGAGAGACACACACAGAGTGACACAGGTGGACTTAAAAAAAACCAAGTGGTACATTGTGATGAAGAATTTCTATCCATTCTAATGAAGTAAATCCTTCACGCTGCCACTGCACAATGACCCAATTTCCTCACCATTAGTTTTATCTAATCGAAGTAATCATCTAAGCTAAACTAATCTGATTCACCCATGGAAGACTGTTCTCTAATGGTATATGCCAGTACACTGAGTTGTAGTGTGACATAAATCCTAACAATAATAAAGACTCACTCTGGCAGGAAGAATAACTGCTGATGGCATGGTTACAATCCCAAAGATTACAGACACTGATATTTGCAGCTTTAGGCAACCAGCTCAGCTGATGCTCAGAATTAGATGGTAGGTGTTTCCAAAGTATATGAAACAGAGAGTACGAGCCTGTGGAAATAATGTTTTATTTGCAGAGCAACTTGTAGAAAATGTAAAAGTACAAACAACTTTATTTCAATGCACTGATGCACCAGAGCTCAAGAATGTTGTAACTGAAACTAATTACAGGTAAAGTTGTGGGACATAAAATCAAAACAATGAAAAGACAAGAAGAAGCTGTGTAGAGTTGAAGGGAGCTGCATAGCTAAATTATAATTATGAATAATATAAAACATCAACAGTGAAGCATTGCTTACCTACAAACAAAACATACACCACATTGGAATTCCAGAATTACTTACACTTCCCCATCACTGAAAAGGATTTGAAGTGGTTGAGAGAGAATTACCCTTGAAATGCCATTTTATCTTAATAACTACAGGCAAATACAGTACATGTCTTTAGTGTGCAGAGACAAATTCTGACTAAGGTATTTATAGGCTATTAGATTACTATCAGTTATTCAGTCTATGTTGGTCTTGTTTGCAGTTGGATGATTTGGAAACAATGACAACACACAGAGACAGTACAAACTATGCCCAAAAAAATATCTTAAATGAGATCCTCATTTGATGACAGTCTTACAGCTCTTAGATTATTGGATTGATGTCTGTGTATTGCTTGTGCATGCTGTGTGAACACAGTGTGACAGTGCTGTACCTTGAAGCAGCCCTCCTGTGTCCCATCACCAGCTCTCTACAGTAAAACTTGGAGGTAGTGCGTTCTGGGACCTGATATTTACATGAGACAAAGGGCAAAACAACAGTCAATTTATCAGACTTAATAAAAACAAATGGTTAATAAAGATTGAGACCCAGTGGTCCCCAGTACTTATTTTCTCTTTTAATAGGTTGGAACAAGGATTTCACGTCCAGCCCAACAGGGACTGAGCTAATTAGAAGGAGGTTTCTGCAGTTTTGATGTGGACAACAGCTTCAGCAGTGCCTGAGACGCTGTAGAGGAAAATGCAATAAAATCTTTAATATCTCATCGGGAGATATTTAATACTAGGGATTTAATAAGACCATTTGGCTGAGCTGTATTCAACTTTTCTTAACATTTCAGTGTTGCTCCTCTAAACCATGTCCAAACCTTACATGTGGAGCGGAAACATCATCTGAGTCAGGGATCTTTCTCAACTTTTTCAGCAACATTGTGAAATCAGTTCTAGATCAGTCTGTGTGAGCGTTGCAAAGTATTGTTTTCTTTTGAATGAGATTTTTCTTCCTTGTTTGATTCTTCTCAAACTCTGTTCTGCCAACCAGCTGGTGACCTTTCAACCTCTTCCTCTGGGTCATATGACCTAGTTACAGAGAGGAAGACACACCCAGCAGAGCAGGAAAAGAGCTGTGAGAGTACCTATCACCCTCTGACAACTTGCCCACATCCTGCATCTGGGGACACACACACCCCCCCACACACACTCACACACGCAGAACTTGCTGCCTGTTGTTTTCCTGTCTCTGCGGAACACGCATGAACGTTTTTGATGTTTTGAAAATCAGTGCACGTTGAGGATTACAAAACCAGGGTTAGTAGGATTTTATATTATCAAATAAATCAAGAAAAGCTTGACCATGACACTGTTCAGTTGATTTAAGACAGCTGTAAAAGTCCTAAAATACATTATCTGGTGCTGTCTTCAAATGTTTTAAAACAGTTTTAAGGCCACTCCAGTCTATAACAGCACCAGCCTCTACATTGAGGTCACAGGAGAGAGTAGTGAGTTATTAACTGCTCTATCGACTCCATATGGTCTCCTCTTTGCTCAGCAACATAACATAGCAAACAGACAGCTTTATTGGGCTCCCCTCCCCTGTCTGTAGTACTTATTAGTTGTTCTATCAACTCCATATGGTGTTCGGTTAGTAAATACACCTAACTGCGTAGCCACTTAGTAAAACACCTAGTGGGGGAGCAGGGATGTTATAGTGAGAGAAAAGTGAATTATACGATTTGGAGTATTTAAGGTGTGTTAATCACAGAGATGGTTTTAGTTAGAGGCATTCATAACAAGCCTTGTGCTAAAACACAACCCCTACCCAGCACAAGCACAAAACACAAACACACATCAACAGTAGACAACCCTGTGATGTGTACACCACTTCTTGCTTGGTATGACCAGAATACAGGATGCTTCCCTCATGCAGGCCACATCCTGTGCCTGGCTTGACACTAAGAACAAGTTCCCCTCTCAGAAAAAGAGAATACACATCAGTTCAACTGATGTATCATTGGTGCCAGTCATTGAGTTGTTACTCACTTTAGGTGGTGCATCGACTGAGTCCCAGAAGACATCATCGGTGATGGACATGGGTGAGAATGGCGACAGGGGAGAAAGGGACATATCTGACATTGAGCTGCTGTGAGGGGCGTCTCGACTAGAGCGCAGATTGGCATTCTGGGAAAATAAGAAGTTCAACCATGATTATTGCATTTGTGCATTGACCCACACATCCACCCATCCCCCCACCAGACCTACCAACCATCCATCCATCCACCAGCATATCAAAGGGCCAACAAAGAGAGACAACAAAACTTTCATGCTCATATTAAAACCTTCAATTAATCAAATCCAAAGCTGCATGACCTGCGCAAACAAAGGGGAAAACACACAAACTCCAAAAGACCCCAGCCAATCGGGATTTGAATCTGCGAAATTCTTGCTATGACGCACACTTTTAACCACATCACAGAAATCAATACAATCCCAGAAAAGATGAACCTATTATCGTTTCTGAGCTGTAATTGTAAGAATAGTGAAGCATTTAAGAGAGCGGAATACATAGACAAAACATTTTCTTAAAACAGATGCAAGGAAGAAAAGGCAAAGAGAAGACATAATGTTCTAAAATTAGTATACCTGGCTGAGGTGAGCTCTCTGCATGGCTGGGGTACATGGACTCGAGCTGCTCCCAGAGCCCAACCTCGAGTGCATCTGGCTGGGAAGACCAGCAGCCAAAAGCAACCTGGCCAAGTTTGATTCTTGAAGGTCCATCTACAGCAGAATAAACATGTAAGACTGTGTGTGTGTGTGTGTGTGTGTGTGTGTGTGTGTGTGTGTGTATAAGATGTATTCTTCAGACATATATTACTTTGTGCTAAACTAATAAGCAGAAATGAATTTTACATACAAATGTATAAAACCTGTTTTTTTAACAGCAGATATTACAGATATCTACAACATTATTTCAGACTATAACTGTATATCCTGTATAACTTTTTTTATAAGGTGTGCATGAAAAGTGATGCAGCCATGACACATCATCTTTGGATGTCTGATAATGGCTGATTCCACATTTTTGGCAGGGCACTAAGGGTAAACTTGACCACACTCCTTATTCTACAACCTTTTGCAGTCCCTGCAGTATATATTTAAAAAAATATCAACGTTGAAATCATTTTAAAGGTTAAAAAACTCCCAACTTGAAATAATAATGTTTAAACTCCTATGTCAGGGTCTAGGAATGATCTTCTTCAAAGAAGTTTTCACACACTCGCCCAGACTAAAGAGTGCCACTAATCAGTCATATGTCTGAATTGTTGCTTGAAAAAAGTAGAACCTGCTTTAGTTTTTCTTTTCTTTTAACTATACACAGTTTAAAATAGTCGTCTAGAAACAACACCTTATGTCTGTTTCCTGTTCATGTTCCTTTGGTGGTTTAGCTACTGTGCTAAGAATAGAGGGTATGAAGCTCATCCTACACAAACAGTCAACATACCATAAAACATGACACATTTACATTGAAGAAAATAAATATATGAAGCTGATTAAAAACAATGTGACACCTTTACAACCAAGGTTGAATGTTTCGTTTGAGGTTTTTTTTTGTTGTCACTCATAACAAGTAGAACAGTCTTTGCTGGTGGATATAGAGCACCAGTTCCAGACTCTGTCCTTACTTCTTCCATGAGTACCTGTACTTTTTTAACCATGTCTGCCAAACATTTTCCTTATTTTCTCCTGGTGAAAAGGGTCTGTCTAAGGATGACATGGAGGTGACAAACCAGGTAAGAAAAAGGGCTGGGAAGAATTGGTGAGGGCCTAAAGATGGACTTAAAACAATAAAAGTGACTGAGGAAAAACGGAAACATAACAACTCAGAGGAGTGTGCGAGAGAGACAGACAGAGTGGGAAAAACTGGGATGTGGAGGCGATAACGGGTGCTAGATGGCTGACGAAGGCAGGGTTTTACCACTGAGCGCTGGCTGTTTGCAGGGCGGCTGGGTGAGGAAGCAGCAGCAGCAGCAGCGGCGGCAGCAGCTGTAATCCCACTTTTAGCTGTTAGTTTCTGGACAGCTGCCACAGGCTTTTCCCTCTGCCTCTGCCTCTCTCTCTCCCTGTGTCTGTGGTCGTGCTGCAGTGACAGGAGCTGGGTTTGGTCCTTGGGCAGGGTGCGGTGGGATCGTCTGGCCACTGAGGGCTGCTGATGCTGGGCCACAGCCTGGGGCTTGGACTGCAGCTGAAGCTGATGCTGGGGGTGCTGGGACTTACGCTGAAGAAGCTGGTTTGGAGCCACGGCTCTCTATGTAGCAAACATGAAAAGCACATATAGAAACTAACAGAGTCTGGGAGTACCTACATGAAGTAAGACAAATGTGTATATTGAATTGTGAGGTCATGATGAGGAGGAATTTACAATGTAAGCAGGAAACTTAAGACCGGTTAATGTAAAGTCAAGAATATAAAGCAGCTACAGACACAAAGGTATCATTATTCCAAGACTCTAGATTCTAGACATATTTTCAGGATTTTTATTCACACGATAATTTCCATTCTCTTAAGTCACATACTGAATTTGCAACGTACATTCCGGCTATTTTTATGACACAAGTGTCATTTTCAACTGATTTCATCTGCTCTTTGCAAGATTAACTCAATCTTCTTGATTAGATTGAATCTTAACTGGCCTTATTTTTAGCTGAATTCTCAAATTACATACTTGGCATATTTAGACAGTCATTTTGATCTGGTAAAATGGATAATATTGGCTAATCAAATTTTACTTTAGAAGAAAAGAAGATTCACTTCAGATAAAAATCACAAGGAAGTTTCTATGATATTTCATCTTGTAATGAGTCAAGAATAAAGAAACAAGTGACATAAATAGCATGACCTGCTAATATAATGCTGGACAGATTGAAGAAATGACTGTTGAATATATACTTTTATATATTAGATCAACACTCTTGATCTATAACTACGAAGTTTGCACAAACATATTTGTTATTAGGGCAAATTAATTGAATGTTGTGTTTGTGTGTATGCTAAATGACCACTCCCAGGTTCTGTAGAAACATTGTAGACAAACGATGGCTGTTGCATGAAAACCTAATAAAGCATATATTGGATTGTCAAGCTTGTTGCGCCACACATAAAACACAAAAAACACACACAAAAAAAGCACACACAGTAAAACAGAAGCTGATTTGAGTCACCTCTTTGGTTTAAACCACAGAAAAAACCTTAATTATGTTGCAAGCAGGTGGCTCTCTGGCACAAAATTCACAGAAATCGACGTTTGTGCAGATCAGGACAGAGAATGAGCTCCAGCTCCAAACAAGATGGGTGTAACATGACACAGTGAGCTAGCCACATTAAAAAATAAATAAATAAAAAACCATAAATACACTAAACTGTATTGTAGTGTGTGACACAAAAGAAAAAAGTTAACTCTGGGAGGCAGTGTAATGACTACACAGTCTCGTACTAAATGCTGTGCAACCACAAAGTTCACACTGAAAAGCACTACAGTGTTGATACCGACCGAATCCATTAGGACCTGATGGGACAGGTCAGGTTCGGACAAAGAAATGTAAATGATATTCGGGGTTGGGTCGGTGATGCTACTTAGGCTAATTGCTTTTACACTGCATTTGTCTCTTATCAGGGAAAACAAGCGATAGTGTCAGGATAACACAGAGTAGGGTAACAAACTCAGCTTACAATAACAGCATCAGGCTTGAGCCGGGTCTGGACATAAAAACTGAATGCCTGTAGTGTTTGGGCTCCGTTGGTTTTCTCTTGCTCTTGAAAAAGGTTCAGACAGAAAAACGGGGCCCGAGATGCACTTAAAAACACACAGGCTCCAACACATCACTTTGGTTATAGTAGTTAATCTTTCAGGGTAACTGTCACAAGCCATGTGGTACCTTCCAAACCAGTAGACCCAAAGGAATAAAACAATGTGCCAGCCTGCTGTTCAGACGTGAACATGGCCACCACATGACAACTGGCTGAGGTTAGATTCAAATAAATGCTCCCATAGCAGGAAAACCACCTGAGATTTAATGCAGTTTTCTTGAGAATGAGAGGACAATATAAGTCTCACAAGGAACTGAAATTCTCAACATACCATCCACCAGCCAATGTCACACATCAGCTTTCTCAGTGCCTGAGAACAAGGTCTATTTTCACAGCAAAATTAGGAAACAACTCATGTCAGCCAACTGCAGATTACTATCCAAATCAGCACTGAATAAGAACCCCTTGTTGCTCTATTTAGTGACTTACCCAGTGGTAATGAATACAACATAGTGAAAGTGGACAAACATGACAAAATATAGGCTCATACTTAGTCCATCTAATATTAAGAGCAACTTTTTATACTTTAAAATAACAGCCTCAAAACCATTTTGGTGGTACACAAACTCAAAATAGGGAGAATGGCATGCCTTTCATTGCCACAGCTTCCCCTGCATTCCTGGAACTGCACTATGTAACACTGGTGTACGATGCTGGAACATTACGACTTGCTTTACGGAATAAGTCACATACAACCAGAGCAAGAGCTAGAAATCGGTAACTTATAATCAGAAGCCAGGTTAACCCATTTTGATAGAGATTTGGCTAGCCAAGTTAGCCAAACAGTTTGATGTGATTTGATGTACCTCATGCTCGGATATCAATAACTGCATTGGCTACTTATTCGCTTTTTAGCATGTCACAACAAATTTAACAACCCGGGCGTGTTTTTGTGTAAACTCTAGGCCTTGTCAGTCGACATAGTTGTTTGGCTTCTGAGGTTGCCAGTTTTAAATAAACAAATAAACGTGTGAACTGCTGTGTGCATGGGGGAAGCTCTGACCAAACTTGTATTTATGACAGTGAATTACCCAACCCACCTGTAGGGGGAGTGCAAGTATAGCTGAGAGTGAATCTTGCATTGTGTTGCTCTAATCAGCGCTGAACCCAGCTAAGAGTCAGCTGAAGAGTAGATCAAATAAAGTTTTACTGAAGTGGAGGATGTTTGAACAGGGTTCAGCAGGAACACTCGGTGTAACAGTGTTAATGTAATATAGTGAACAAGCCAAGTTAGCCCTCTAAGCTAACTACGTTCTAATTGCGACAACGATGGATCGCAAATGTGTGACAACATTTTTTGCCCACAATAGATATTACACAAAGGTCAGAGCCTATATTGAATCAGGTCACAGACTCATCCTGGGTCCAGGTTGCAGTCATCTTCACGGGGACGACTTGATGCAGTGGAATTATTTTACATCATGTTTAATGTGTGCTTAAATTCTGCATTTTTTTTCCCATATAACACAAGCTGATCTTAAAAACTGCTTAACCATAATAAATAAGAAAAAATACATCTAAGGACAACAGTCATATAGTCAAGCCCAAATAAAGATCAACGAAACTATCTCCAATACCAATGCCAATGGGAAAACTAATATATGTTGACAATTGAAACAGGTAGATTATGTCAAAGTTGGCATGACTAACCCAAAGCATTTTTAACTGTCAGCAAATAAGATAGCACATACCAAAAAGAAGAGGATTACACAACAGCTATGAAAAGGAGCTGACCAGCATTGCTGCGAATCATAGATGAAAATCCTTCAGCAAAATTAAAAGTCATACTCAAATAGTTGTTAATTCATGTATCCATCTGTGCATCCAGTCCTTACATTTTACTAATCTGCAGGCTATCAGGCAAACATCAAGAGGGACTCTCATTTCACCACAGATTGGTGAATTTGTATTTCTGAAACCCTTAATTAAATAGTAACACTTTAGAGGAATACGCTGAACGGGAGATACTAGAAATGAAAGCGGCTTCACGCTGTGAACAATGGAGTGAGGGGTGCAGAGAGGAAACAAGTGAGGAAAGGATAGAGAAGGCATGCTGGGATTGGAAGAGACAGAAGAGGTGAGGTGGGGAGAGAAGTAGAGGGAAGGCTTTGAAACAGAAGTGATAGCGTGCTGTGATAAGCATTGGCCTCAAAATCTGACACTCCTGCTGCGGTGCAGTGTGTTTCACTGAGGTCTCTCTGAATCCTTAATGGAGTCCCACACAAACGCTGAATTAAAAGCTCAGATCTTTTACTGTATACTTGATTGAAAACTTCAAAAATGATGAACCAGTCCCACCAGGTGTATTAGAGCATGAATGGACATAGACATATGGACAATTGACTTTGTTTCCGCTTCCTTTCTCCATTCCAGTGCTTCACTCTTTAAATTCTCCCTTTATAGTAAAGGTGTCATGCCAGAGACAGAACCAGCTATACATTCTCTCTCACTATCTTTTTCCTCAAAGCAAATACTTTCTTCAGTTTTAAGACATAATCCTCTCATCTCATATAAAAGAGCATTGCAACTTTAAAAGTCAGGACTCTGTTTTCTCCATTAATCATTTGATCAGTAAAATGTCAGAAAATACTGAAAAATGCCCACATCTAAGTCCTACAGTCCGCAGGTTACATCTTTCAACAGTCCAAAACATAATATCTATCACATAAGACAATCAGGAGGATGGACAACAGAGGAGAAAGAAAGAAAGAAAGACAGAAATATCTAATTCTAATCCTCAGGTTCGCTGTTTGCACACACGCCTACATCTTACACTCCCAAAGCGATGTGACCGAAACCATCAGCATCATTAAAAATGAATCTGTGTTCAAATAACAAATTCCACCTGTTCTTTAATGACAAGTGAAAAGACGAAGAGTGATGGTTTGTTACCTGCTCAGCTGTGAAGTCCAGAGGCCTTACTGACACATCGGCACTCCCCTTTCTGCCCGCCTGGTCCTGGACACACACACACACGCACACACACTTAATTAGGGTACACCAAGGTCCTGAGTCTGAGAGGTGGGAACTAAAATATTCAGAGTGTTCATGATGGTATGGCGCTTTTAGCCAGCGCCCTCAACTCTGAATATTTCATTACGACCTCTTTTCCAATTTCTCCAAGAAAAACCTTAAATGTCCAAATAGTTCAGACTGGATTCTCTTTTACATTTACAATGTTTAATTGAATCTGCGCAATTTAAATATTTGCAGTGGTTGCACCATTGCCTTTAAATTGTGTTTGTTCAGCTTGTATTTGGAAGGTCACATTCAACAGTGCTTAAGCTGAAACGTAGGTACATCTGGATGACAAACCTTCCATGATGAAGTCGATAACAAACTCAAGTCAATTGAAAATGATAATATGAATGTGAATGAGTAGGACATCCAGCACCTGATATAAAAAATGGTGCTACAGACCACAAATTACATCTATGTCATCAACAAGCAAACAAGCAACAGGAGGGCATAAGAATTATGGGAGATGTAGTCTGTAAATACAAGTTTTAATTTAACAAAATCCCCTAATTAATTATTCAAGTAAACACTATGTACATGTTTTATTATGTCCCTAATGTGTAATGATATACTATTCTTCACAATGTCTTTGCAGAATGCATTTTAATGTAGCTTTTAATTAACGCATCCATTTACGTTCTAAACGTAACCTATGGTTATGAGCTATGGGAAATGACCAAACAACGAGATTGTGGACACAAGCAGCTGAAATGAGTTTCCTCCGACAGGTGGCTGGGTTCAGCCTTGGAAATAGAATGAGAAGTATTGACATCCAGAGGGACCTTGGAATAGAACCGCTGCACCTTCACATTGAAAAAGGACAGTTGAGGTGCTTCTGGCCAGCTACCTCTGTGACCCGATGGATGGATGGATAATAATAATCCAACTATCGATCTTTTTTCTGTACTGACTTATCCTGTTGAGGATCACAGGGGCCTGTCCCAGCATGCATTGAGGCAGGGTAGATCATAGAAGTATTTTTAGTCCATCCATGGGAAGTCGAAACTACTGCTTCCTCAAATGATAATGTGGCTTCAGAAGTTGGTTTTTTTCATCACAGCAGAGTTGTGTAATTCCACCTATGACCATTTGCTGTCCCCATCCACTGCAGAGATTCAAACACGTACAGTCCCCTGCCCACTTCTCTAATCTTCGAGCCACCAACAAACCACTGAAACACACATGACACTTGCCAAATCAATTAATGTGTGAACTGATTTGAAACCAATCAGTTGAGAACGTGCACCGAGGCAAGCTCTTTCATCTGACAAAATACAAGACATTACATCACACACTCACTGAACCCATCACATAGTTAGATGCAAATGCATTAAAGCTTAATGAAGCATCAGATAGATCCATTACACAAGCTGAACTTAATGAGTTAGAGGCAATCTGTGTCATCAGGATCTAACACACAGATCCTGCCACACACATACACATGAGAGCACACCAAATAGACATATATAATGTAACTAGACAGATATTAATAGAATTGAAACACACTGTCTTCTACATGAAGAAATCCCGGCCACTAACCTGCTTTGTGGTGTTAAAATACACCTATTTAAACTCATTGGTGTGTGGGATGGATTCATCAAGTACGTGTTGAAATTAATAACCGAAAAATGAACCTGTAATCGTAGAGGGCTATGTGTCTTTGTCTGAAATGAGGGAAATCGGCAGAGACACCTCAGCCTGTCTAAACATACTTTGTCAAAAGTTACTCTGTAACTCACATTAAAGTTTTTTTAATATCACCGATTTGTGTGATTTGAGTTTCATTAAGATATATTATAGAAACCTCTTTTAAGTAAAAGTCCCTCGTCTAAACTTCAGAAACTGTAGAACATCAGCATAACAAAGGATTTCTGAAACGTATTCAATCTCCAGCTAATGTACAAAAAACTTTCGAAAGTACTACAAAATGCTAATTTCTTTTATATATGGGCCTCTTGTGTTTGAAATATATTTGAATGATTAAAAACATATTCAAGGTTCCCCTGCATAAGGCAAGTAGTGTTCGATTAGCTGATAACTATAACATGTAAAAATCTGCCCTTAATAATCTTTCCTCTGTTCCACTACATTGAAGAGAGAATGGATTCATCACCAAGATGCCAAAGCCTGATGGATGCAATGACTACATCAGTTCATCAAAAACACACCTTGAGCTTTCAAGTTCATGTGAGAAATCAGTTCAGCAACAAACAAGAATCTGCTCTGGGTAACTGAGCTTAAATAACTTCTAACATTAACTACAAATCCAGTACAATCTATCATGAAGTTCTAAGTGATCAGTGCAGCACTATAATGACACTGTATGTCTGCTGAAGGTGTAAATGGGAAACTTGTTGTAATGTCACCCCCCAAAAAAATCCATGAATGCAGGTTTAGGCAAAAATAAAATAAGGCACATTTTTATGCTATAAGTAAAAAAACTTTCCTAAACAATGCGTAGTTTTTGAATGTTAAAAAATTGCAAACAGAACTTGTGTAATTTGTTGTATGTGGGATTTTTTATCTTTATGTATACTAAAAATTGATCAAGTGAATGAGGTAATTTCATGAATCAGATCACTTAAGGTTCTGAAGTAGAAAAGATCAGTCAATTCAACAAGATTTGCCTCCTCTCAACCAATTTACCAACAGACCAATTAACAGCTCAATCCAGAGCCTTTTCTCTGGTGTGGCTTAAAATATTGAAACATTTCAGAATTTTTATTTTCCATAATACTCAGGGAAAAAGACTTTAT